CTGCTATAGACAGATTTTGCTGCTGGACGGCTGGATGTCCCACCTGGATCCAATTACCACACGATGAGTCTTTTTAACTGTTTATCTTGTAAGTGCAACTTATCCATTGTTTACTAAATAAATTGTCAATACTGCACTTAGAGGAGCCTTCCTCTTTTTCTTGTTACTGAATTATAGCCTTGCTGCCACTCCATCCATCCATCCATCCATCCATCCATCCCTGATATCCACCTGGCACCTTTATCTTACAGCTACAGAGGTTGGGCTCCAACAAGCACGCCCTATATAATATACATTTTCAAGTTCTCATGGATAGTACACCGTTTTCAGCAGGCTGTAATTCTGGCATTTGTAATCTAAGGCATGCCATACATTTATGAATGGTTTGAAGGAAAGAAAAGTGCTTGGTTGCCCCATCAGCACCGTCCTTGTTGATTGGGGGGGGGGCGGGGGAAAATCTCTCCTGTTGCCCTATTGTATTCTGACAGCGGGAGATTTTCCTGCCGTCAGAATACAATGATTGCAGTCGGCGTCTATAGCTGCTGCCAGTGATCAAACGATAAAAAAACAGGCTAGTTGTACTGGTCGATCAATAGATTGACTTCAGTACAACCAGCCTGTCCATAGACAGATCGAAATTCGACTGGTTCTTGCTGAACCACCCAAACTGTTATCTGTTTATGGCCAGCTTAAGCGACTCACATACAGACCTTTGACTTGGCTGACACTGCTGGAGCACACCAGCATAATATTCGATATTAAGGCAATTCCCTCGTCTCTTCTAGGATCCAACAGCCTGAAAGCCTCAGAGGCCATCATCTTCAATAGTAGCATGCCACCCCTGAGGAGCCATAGCAGAGAGGATTCTGAGAGAGAGCCCCAGCCACAGCGGCTGGAGAAGTTCCTCAGCGTGGTGCCCAGCAGCTCTCAAGCACAGCGCGGCTCTGACAGGTAATGCGCAAATCATGTACCGCATGTGTTCCTTTACTAAAGAACGCACCAATCAGTATGTCATTGAGGAGACTGAAATGCATTCTGGGATTGGGAGGGGGTCATGCGTGGGGGGGGGGGCCTGGGGTGTCTAAAGTATAACTAAAGACAGATTTTTTTTCTTTGGGGGGGGGGTTTGGTGTGGGTTTTTTTTTTTTTTTTTTTTTTTGGTGTGTTTTTTTTTTTTGGATAGAGTGGAAAGGTGTGTTTTCAGTTTTTATTGCTCCTTGTGCCCCCCATTAGAGAGATTCACCCTCTCTATTTATCCTGCTTACCTTTATCATTAAAAGTGAAAGAAAATCCCAAACTTTGGGTTTTTTTTTTTATATAGGTGGCACTGACAGGTGACACTGAAAGGCAGCTCAGATGGGCACTGCTATGTGGCATTGATGTGGACTGGTAGGCACTGATATGTGGCATTGATGTTCCACTGATGGGCACTGGCAGGTGGCACTGTGAGGCTACAGTGATCATCAGGGCACTCTGATCATCAGAGCCCGGATGATCAATGTACATGTCCTCTCTGAGGAATGCCGATTACCGGCTCACCTCTCCTCTTCTCTCCTCTGTCAGCGTGACAGCTCGAGTGGAGAGAAATGCCGACAACCGGCATTTCCCTATTTACATGTGATCAGCTGTGATTGGACACAGCTGATCACATGACCGAGCCGATATCTTTGGCTCTTTCTGTTGATCGGTGATCCGCTTTGTCTGAGGGACACAGCACACCACCGATCGTCACGCTACGCGCTCCCGAGCCGCGCTAGCACGGTTAGAGTGGGAGGACGTCCTATGACGTCCTCCCAGAACGAGAGAACCGTGCCCGTCATTGCCTTATATGGCGGGTGGGAGGTGGTTAAAGTAACAAACATGTCATACTTACTTGCTCTGTGCGGTGGTTTTGCACAGAGCAGCCTGGATCCTCCTCTTCTCATGTCCCACACCGGCGCTCCTGGTCTCTGGTCTTCTTCCTGTTGGGTGCCCACACAGCAAGCAACTTTCTATGGGGGCACCCTCCCTCTCCTGATTTGGTTCACTGGCTGTGATTGACAGCAGAGGGAGCCAATGCTGCCTCAGCCAATCAGGAGTGAGAATTCCCGGAGAACCAAGGCTCTCATGGACATCGCTGGATCGGTATGTGGCTCAGGTAAGTGTTGGGGGGAGGGGGGGGGGCTGGCTGGGCAGCTTCACACATACATAGAATGCATGAGGGTGAAAATCCTTGAGCCTTTACAACCACTTTAATTGCCTCTTGCTTCCTGTTTTGGCTATTGGACAGGAAGTGAAGGGAAATCTCCCCAATGGGACACAAATTGCAAAAATAAACCTTACAGGGGTTACAAAAGTTTTTTGCCTTTTTAATTCGTCTTTAAATTTGTGCTTTGGAACAAACTAACACAGGTTTCAGTATCATTGTACACAAAGTGCTCAGGATAGACCATGCCACTCCTTCCCACCCACACACTATGACTCTTTAACTGGGGCTTAAAGCTGGGAGAGTGGGATGGTCTTCCTGATGTTTTGCTGTCACATGATCAGGAGCCTGTCCTGCCAGCTCACAATCATACCTAGAGACCGAGAGCTGCCTGTGCCAGCTCAGTCACTGTGCTGTGAGCATGCTTTAAGCACAAAAACCTCGGTCACCTTGGGAGGTGGACCTTAATTCCTACAAGCCACTCATATGGGTATATGTGTGGCTTGTAGGCATTAAGACCCACCTTCCTTGTTGCCGTACATGTGAGAAATATGGTCAGCAAGTGTGTGTGTGTGTGTGTGTGTGTCTGTGTGTGTGTGTGTGTGTGTATATATATATATGTGTATACAGTGGGGATCGAAAGTTTGGGCACCCCAGCTAAAAATGTGTATTAATGTGCATAAAGAAGCCAAGGAAAGATGGGAAAAATCTCCAAAAGGCATCAAATTACAGATTAGACATTCTTATAATATGTCAACAAAAGTTAGATTTTATTTCCATCATTTACACTTTCAAAATAACAGAAAACAAAAAAAATGTCGTCTGCAAAAGTTTGGGCACCCTGCAGAGTTAATATCTTGTACTGCCCCCTTTGGCAAGTATCACAGCTTGTAAACGCTTTTTGTAGCCAGCTAAGAGTCTTTCAGCTCTTGTTTGAGGTATCTTTGCCCATTCTTCCTTACAAAAGTCTTCCAGTTCTTTGAGATTTTCTGGGCTGTCTGTCACGCACTGCTCTTTTAAGGTCTATCCATAGATTTTCAATTATGTTGAGGTCAGGAGATTGTGAAGGCCATGGCAAAACCTTCAGTTTACGCCTCTTGATGTAATCCCCCGTGGATTTCGAGGTGTGTTTTAGGATCATTATCCATTTGTAGAAGCCATCCTCTCTTTAACTTCAGCTTTTTCACAGATGGCATCAAGTTACCATCCAAAATTTGCTGAAATTTTATTGAATCCATTTTTCCTTCTACTCGTGAGATGTTTCCCTGTGCCACTGGCTGCAACACAACCCCAAAGCATGATTGATCCAACCCCATGCTTAACAGTTGGACAGAGGTTCTTTTCATTAAATTCTGTGCCCCTTCTTCTCCAAACGTACCTTTGCTCATTCCGGCCAAAAAGTTCAATTTTAACCTCATCGGTCCACAGAACTTGTTTCCAAAATGCATCAGGCTTGTCTCTATGTTCATTTGCAAAGTTCAAACGATGATTTTTGTGGTGAGGACGTAGAAGAGGTTTTCTTCTGATGACTCTTCCATGAAGACCATATTTGTACAAGTATCTCTTTATAGTGGAATAGTGTACCACAACTCCAATGTCTTCCAGATCTTTCTGGAGGGATCGTGCAGTCAAACGTGGGTTTTGAATTGTTTTTCTCACAATCCTGCGAGCTGTTCTGTCTGATATTTTTTCTTGGTCTTCCAGATGTTGCTTTAACTTTCACTGTTCCTGATGACTGCCATTTCTTAATTACATTCCGAACAGAGGATATTGACATCTGAAAACGCTTTGCTATCTTCTTATAGCCTTCTCCAGCTTTGTGAGCGTCAACTATTTTCAGTTTCAGTTTTCTAGACAACTGCTTAGAAGAACCCATGGTGCTGATTGTTGGGGCAAGGTCAGATGAGTCTGGGCATTTAAAACCTTTGAGCTTGACATCACTTGGTCTTCCCAGATGATGATTGAGAACAATCCATGACACTGGCAGGTCTCAGCTTGGCAAAGGGGGGCAGTGCATGCTATAAATTCTGCAGGGTGCCCAAACTTTTGCAGACGCTATTTTTTTGTTTTCTGTTATTTTGAAAGTGTAAATGATGGAAATAAAATCTAACTTTTGTTGACATATTATAAGAATGTCTAATCTGTAATTTGATGCCTTTTTGGAGATTTTTCCATCTTTCCTTGGCTTCTTTATGCACATTAATACAAATTTTTAGCTGGGGTGCCCAAACTTTCGATCTCCACTGTGTATACACACACACACATTTGGGTGCAGCGTTGCATGACCGCACAATTATCCGTTAAAATAACAGTGCCATAACGCAAAAAAAAAATGTCTGGTCGGGAAGGGGAATCTTCTGGAGGTCAAGTGGTTAAAAGGGAGATATAGAGGACTCTTCCCAATGTTACTATTTGAAAGTGTTGTTGTTGTTGTTGTGTGTGTTTTTTTTTTTTTTTTTTTTTTTTTTAAATGGTATAAATCCTCTGGAGGGCGAGGGGTTAAGAAAAGCACAGAAAGGTATCATGCACAGCTCTGAAGCAAAAAAAAAGGTCTATTTGCACTAGGAAGAAGCTATACTTGTATTATTTAGGTTATTATTGCTTTTTTGCAACACAGACATTCCAGAGTATTTCTAAATCTCCTCGATTGTAAGCTCCCAGGATCAGGCCCTCCTATCCCTCTTGTATTGAATTGTATTGTCTCCCGTTATATTGTAAAGCGCTGAGCAAACTGTTGGCGCTATATAATAAAAATCTTTTAGTGTCTGTTCGAGAAAGTCTAATGAATTGCCGTGTAAATGTTTGGATTTGCAGAGCGTCCACTGATGCCGCTGTAGCCGCTCGCCTGACATCCGCAGTGAAACCTCTTCAAGATTTGTCCCCTTCGGAGGACATCATTGACATTAAACTGGACACAGACGATGCTTTCAATGAGGACTTGAGCTTTAGCTGTGAAAGTTCATTACATCCCAGGAAGAAGCCAGCCTCTATAACGAGAACGCAGAGGCCTACAGTTCAGGTATACAGGCCGCCAGGAAGCACGCACCGCCTGGAGGAACGCAGCACCGTACGCAGACCGCCCCAGAGCGACCCCGTTACGGTCAGACAGCCCAGCTTCTTTAGCAACAGAGCAGTTGACACCAAACCTTATGAACTGCAAGAGGCCTTCCGAGCAGAGGAGACCTTCAGATCTGCAGTGGGGACAGAGAGAGCTTTACATGAGGTAGGTCAGGTTTTATGGAAAAAGTCCCACTCCATCAAATTGGTCTTTCTTTGGTGGGTGGACACTCCCGGAAGGTGAGAGTGAAACAGTGGTAGGACTAGAGCAATCCAGAAGCTCCTCTGGTTCAGAATCTAAAGTGACTTGCTCAGTGCTCTGTTTACAGCACGGCAGAATGTTATGTTAACCTCTTCACGCCGGCCGAAACGCAAATGTGCGGCCTCCCGGCGTCTGGGCCTAGACGCCGAGCGGCCACACATTTGCGTTCTATTAAAAAAGAACATGTGATGAGAGCACGCGCGCTGCTGCATCACACATGTCCAGTACTCACGGAAAGGTCCCGATCTCCTCTTTCGATCGGGACCTTTCCCGATCATGTGACGGCAGTCACATGACCCTAAACCCTGCCTCCCGGCTTTTGAAACCCTTAAAGGGTCGGGAGGCGCCAGCGTGAAGGGGTTAACATGTTAGTTTATAAAAGAAAATTTAATCTAAAAGCCCATAATGCCTCAATCAATGGTTATTTTGATACACGAGGACCCGAGTCTTCTGTATTTCCTAGAAGGGAGGGTCCATCTTCTGGTGTTCATTTTACTGCCTGAGTCATATGGACGCTTCCTATTGGCTCTCCAGCAGCGGGGATCTCTCAGGATCCAGAAGACTGCAAGAACGCGATGTCGTCACCCCCTTGGGTTTGTTTTTTTTTCTCTATGAATGGAGGAAAGAGATACATTGTATCTCTGTAACTCCTTGACAGCGTGTCACGGCGGTCACATGACCCTAAACCCCGCCCCACCTCCCGGCTTCTGGAACCCTTAAAGGGCCGGGAGGCACCAGCATGAAGGGGTTAACATGTTAGTTATAAAACAAAATCTGATCTAAAAGCCCATAATACCTCAAATGGTTATTTTGATACACGAGAACCTGAATCTTCTGTATTTCCTGGAGGGGAGGGTCCATCTTCTGGTGTTCATTTTACTGCCTGAGTCATATGGATGCTTCTTATTGGCTCTCCAGCAGCAGGGATCTCTCAGGATCCAGAAGACTGCAAGAACGCGATGACGTCGCCCCTTTTGGTTTTTTTTTTCTCTCTATGAATGGAGGAGAGAGGGTACATTGTATCTCTGTAACTCCTTGCATAGAAAAAAAACGGTTAAAAAAAAAAAGAAAAGTATTAAAAAATAAGATGGAAAAAATACCTCGATCAAGGTTTGATCTAGTTCAGTGCCAGGGTTAGTGTTTGGGTCAAGGTCAGGTTCGGGATCCTTCCTTTTTTTTTTTTTTTTTTTTTTTTTTTTTTCCAACTTGGTGTCAGTGACCTGGGAGTTGCACTGGTGAGGGACATGGATGGTGGTCTTTGAGTAAAAAAGTGCTAAGTGAATTAAAAAAAAAAATCTTGTGAAAGTGTGGGAGGGGCTTTAGATGGGCTATAACGTCGTTCTAAGTGAAAGCCACTGAGGGGCAGGAACTGCAACGTTCTGATAAGTGTTCTGCCGTCTTGCAGTTTGATGGGTCCCGGAAGAGGAAGATGCCTGTTGCCAGTTCGGTGGTGAAGGTGAAAAGATTTTTGGAAGAGTTCGAGGAGGAAGATGACGAGGAGGAGGAAGATTACATCTCTCGAGCAGCTGCTGTACCCAGCAGTGTGTCTATTCCTTCCAGACCGGAGAGAAGGTATTCATTGTCTTCATTTTACACCTAAAGTTTCTATTGTCAGTGGAATCCCATACAGCCTATGGGGAGGTTTTGGAATTGCATTATGGGATACAGGGAGGAAGGTGTCATTTGAAATCTAAGGACATTAAATAAGAGCTCCAGTCAAATCCCCCCCCAAAAAAAAAAAATTAAGTCAGCATCTACAAATACTGCAACTACTGACTTTTAATATTAGGACACTTATCTGTCCAGGGATCCATCAATGTCCTCACCTCAGCCAATTCTTCATTCGGCTTTGGGTGCAGGAGCTGGCATCTTACGTAGTTACATAGTCTGGCTGAAAAAAGACAAATCCATCCAGTTCAACCATTAAAAAAAAAAAGTTATAATCCTACACCCACAGTTGATCCAGAGGAAGGCAAAAAAAAAACAGCAAAGCATGATCCAATTTGCTCCTGCAGGGAAATTCCTTCCTGATCCCCCGAGAGGCAATCGGATATTCCCTGGATCAACTTTCCCTATAAATGTTATATCCAGTTATATTCTGTGTATCCAAGAAAGAATCCAGGACTTTCCTACAGCAATCCACTGAGCTGGCCACAACCAACTCTTGAGGGAGTCTATTCCACATCTTCGCAGCTCTCACTGTGAAGAAACCTTAAATTTCTTTTCCTCCAGATGTAAAGAGCGCCCCCTTGTCCTCTGTGATGACCTCAAAGGGAATCTTAGATAAGGGAATCAGGCAGTGAAGCCTTCCGACTTCATAGCCGGTGTCCTACAATGCATGCGTGAGTCGCACTGCGCTTTGTGAATGGTCCCCCAGTCTTCTGAGACTTGTGATTTGTCCCCAGAAGGCTGCGGGAGGGGGAAGGAGGAGGGGGGCCGATCGTCGCCACAGCGATCTGACCGATCATGGGAGCGGGTACCTGTCAAAACCAGGGACCCACATCCCCCTCCCCCCCCCCCCCCCCCCCCAAAAAAAAAATGCTAAATGTGGCAGTGGAGGGGGATGCAAACAAGTGGAACTTCTTCTTTTGGGTGATGTTGTGCTATAAAGTGGAATTCCAGGTTTTGTTTCACTTTCACCCCCTTCCTGTCCAGGCCAATTTTCAGCTTTCAGCGCTGTCACACTTTGACAATTGCGCGGCCATGCAACACTGTACCCATATGAATTTTTTAGCATTTTTTTTGAGACCGATAAAGCTTTATTTTGGTGGTATTTATTCAACCACTGTTTTTTTTTTTTTTTTTTTTTTTTTTGCTATGTAAATTAAAAAGTCCAAAAATTTTGAAAAAGTGTTTTTTTCTTATAAAAGTTTGCAAATAAGTAATATGTCATCATAAATCTTGGCCAAAATTTATTCAGTTATCCTTTTAGTAAAAAAAAATAAATTTTTTGGTTATAAACGAATTTGGATTATTTTTTTTTTTTTAAACTTTTTTTTTTTTTTTTTTTTTTTTTTTTTTTTTTTTTAACACATTGCTTTTACACCCATAAAGGCTGTAAAAAATCAATCATTTCTCCTTCTCTTTGGCTGCATTCTTGCAGCCATTGAGAACTACTGTGTAAACTGTGATTGGTCACAGCTTGTCACATGGTACATGGCTGTTGTGAATAGCTCTGTACCATGTGACCTCTGTGATCATTCACATGTAGTAAGCAATCATGTCAGAAGTGACATCTTGCTTACTACTCTGCATGTGATCACTGATTGGACCTCGCACAGATCGGCGTTCCACTGTGACCGGAGGACACAGCGGGGCACCGGATCGTGGTGCTGTGCGCTCCCAGGGAGCGCGCACAAGCAGGGGGCAGGGAGGCCGTTTATAAACGACTACCCGACCCTGCACTGCCACCTTCCGGCCGTTTATATACATGGGCCGCACGGGAAGTGGTTAAAGAATTTTGTTTGGGCCAAGCTGGCCGAAGTAAGCTACTACTACATGATGCGGTCGGAATGTGTGCCGTAATGGCCGGTAGTAGCAGTAGCATACAGTAAGTAGAGCTGTATTCTGAAAGCAGTGCGGGCAACTTCCTGTCTGCTGAAATAAAGATAGCTGGGCTGAGTGTTTCTCTCCGCCATTCAGGAGAGGCCATGTATTTTTATTAGTGAAGACTTCCTCTGATTGGCCAAGCTGGAGACGCGCCTCTCCATTTCATCTAATCCGAGTAAGTCTTGTATTCATTAATAGGCTCCCAATCGTTCGAATTTCTTGGCTGAAGGATGTTCAGCACCAACCATTTGAGGGCTTGAAAGTTTGAGAATTGAGTTCTCAGCAGCGGCATGCCTTGAAAGTGACAATTTAATCCTGAAGTTACTTCTGCTCTAAGTGACGAGAGAATGATCCCATGACTTAAAACTGAGCAAATGTCTTCTGTTTTCAGGCCTACTCTCCCACCATCAAAACAAGCCAACAAGAACCTGATCCTGAAGGCCATATCTGAAGCTCAGGAATCTATTACCAAAACAACCAGTTACTCCACAGGTAACAGAACGATCTATGTGAAGTGCGATCGTCCAGTCCTGGCCACAAAGAGTATCAGTACTTGTTGGATCAGTGGTCTCCAAACTGTGGCCGTGTATATAAATTGTATGTGGCACAAATCTCAAGTACGGAAACGATGTAAGATACAAATAGCGATAAATTAGTTTCGGGTTTGATAAAGGATCTGATTGGTGCTCCGAAACGCGTTACCTAGGCTACGAAGGCTACGGATCCATTCTCCCCTGATGCCACCTCTATTCCTTCCACCGACGTCAACCACAGGGCGCTATTCCTTCCACCGACGTCAACCATGGGGCGCTATTCCTTCCACCGACGTCAACCACGGGGCGCTATTCCTTCCTCTGATACCCTACGATAAAACTCCTATTCCTGCCACTGGCACCAACAGTTGGGGGAATCGTCCTCCTACTGAGCTTGAGACATTATCTATTCACATTGACAATGGGGCATTTTCCACTACGACAGGCCAAATTCCGGTCATCTTAAAGTCTGAAGGACAGTAAACTGTCCTTTTATTTAGAAAGTTTCGATGCTCCACTTCCTCTCATTTGATGTCGGTAGTAATTTTTTCTCAGACACCCAGTGCTGTCATTTTTATATTTTATTATTATTTTTTCTTTTAATTAAATACATAGGTTTTAAGAGGGGTTGGTAATTTGTTGTCTGTTTTTGCCCTGTCAAGTTCCCCCAAAGCAGATGGTTCCTGTGGCTCCACGAGCTCGTCCGCTCCCCGAGGAGGAGCTGATCCTGATGAAGAGTAGAGCCTCCATGTTGCGCTATCAGGAAGAGCCGGAGGAAGCGCCAGACATCAGGCAAGGTACAGGAAACCGAATTAAAAAAAAAACAAACAAAAATTCCCAGCTCACTAACCAGCCAGCCTGCAACAAACCAAATTGTCCTGTCTATCAGTTCATGTTAAACAAGGGGTTTAGTTGGCACACATTTGCAAATATATGCGTAAGCTGCAGAGGCCACGTCATGGCATCCCAGTGTACTGCAGTCCTAACTCTATAAGTTGTGAGTCTCCAAAGTTGGAGCACATATATAATAATGGATAGATTAAGGGCAGGCATGCCTGGAGGGAGCCCACCACTCAAAATACCACCCAAAAATAGTAGTAAAAATAATAGGCTTAACTGACATTGGGTGGGAACTGACTAACTGCCACGGACATCACCATTAATACAGTGATCAGTAGTGATACCAGGGTTCTTCAAAAAGCTTCTGCACTTTAAAAAAAAAAAAAAATAGTGTATGTATGTATATATATAAGGACCCTTGTGCTATACACTGATAGTGGCTGAGAAGGGGTTAACCTCATCTCTGGTAATTAATGGGTTAAGTATGCTCCTAGCAGGTGTTAATTTGTGTAATGTGAGCTGCTTTTTACTACATATCTCAATATTCCCTCTGTATGGAGCCCCGTGTTGATTTTCAACACAGGGCTCTGGACTGTGACAAAGCCGATAAGCATGGTGCCAGCCATGAATCATTGGTTGGGTTTTGCTGACCAACTCCCGCTGTGTACAGTTGCAGCGGGAGTTGGCGGACAGGCAGTGCGCGCGGCCCTGAACCTGGGAGAGGCCAGTGATTGTACAGGTACGTCGCTGTGCCTGTACATGTTCGTTGCAGGCAGGCGGTCCGCGGTGGGCAATGTATCATTGCCAGATTGCTTTGTTTTGCAAATCCTCACCTGGATATCAATCTTTCTCACCTCCATTGGTCTGTAGTTCTATCACCCAGTATGTGGTATGATCCGACTGTGTCTGAATTTGTCCGTCAGTGGACTCTTCGAAATGGATTTTATGGTTGGGTGCAAAAATCCTATCTTCTTGAACGACTCCTTTACTTTAAGAGCAACAGAGCTATTTGTGGTCTTCCATTTATTTTTTGTTGTCCTTCCAGTTGACCAGCGTAGAATGGACATCCTCTCCAGATTGCACCCAGAACCAATGGAGGAAACCAACACCTGGGGACAAGGTTTGTAACTTCTCTTCTGCTTACTATATCATTGCCATCTTCCTTCTATATTGCAAATTCTTGGCCAGTTCTCCACCATCCTCCCCTCCCCCAGTGTATAGTTTGGTATATCACACAGTATTTATATGGTATGTGACTGGCCTCTCCTCCAGAGTTCTCTTTTTCATCACAATATGTTGGATACCACGGACTCAACACTGCAGCCTACATTGTATGAAAAGCTTATAAAAATGCAAGCGCATAGTGTGCCATAGACATTGTTGTGCCCAATGGAAATCTGATAGGGACATCCGCTCACCTTTTTTAAATGGAGCATTTCAGTGAGTCACTGAAGCAGAACAAGCTTGTAGGCTGGAGTTTCATTTTTAGCCAGGAAAATGGGCACTGGCATCAAAGTTAATTCTAATTAAAGTTTTACTTCACAGTAAAACACGCCATAGATGAGGCAAAAACCAAACGTTCTGTCGATCGGTAAATGAAAGTGGCGTTCACATTCTACTGTGCCATCAATGGTTGGAAATTTGTACTGCCAAACAGTTTTTTTTTTTTCCAATCACCAGCGGAAGTGATTCAATGTAGTTTGACTTCAGTTACTCCCCTGCTCTGTACCCCCCCCCCCCCCCGTACTATTCAAATCTTATCACATGTCTCACCGCTCAGACTTGCTGTATCCTGGTGTGTGAAGTCACTTTGGGTGGGGGGGGGGCCTATGGAACCCAGCCCACTTTGGAGAGGTGGGGAGACCCCTGTCTCAGCTCCCCATATCCCTCTTATGTGTAAGTCACCCTGTGCCTGTTAGGGGTACAGGGTGATCTGTCCTAATATTGAGGTGGGGGGTTGTGGATTGTTTTATGCCATGTGGTTGCATCCCATTGTTCTATTGTGTGTCTGGCTTGGGAGCAAACTATTATGGTATGTATGTGTTTGTGTATTGGCTTGGTGGGGGGTGTCTCCAGCAGCCCTCCCTCCTGATGGGACTGTCTGTTGGTGTGTCTCTTGTTACTAAATGTAGATTGCCCCGCCCTGTGTCATTATGCAGGGAGGGGGGATTGTTCCCTTGAGTGTATATATCTTGTATCTGTGTTAAAAATAAAGTAGTCTACCTTCTGGTTTACTTCAAATTTGGTGTCGTCTGGATCCTGGGGTAACAATAGCCAGATTTACTAGTCTCGTGTTCCAGAGCCTGAGAAAAAGTTTCTTAACGGAGATACCCAGTCGTGGGTTTCTGGGGGTCCGTTACGTGGTGTATTTATTGAAAGCCATCATGCCTATTCTGCTTAGTACATTAGGTTGAATACTACTTGCAGACACTGTGGGGGAGATTTGCCAAAACTAGAGCACTCAGAATCTGGAGCAACTGTGCAAGGTAGCCAATCAGCTTCTAACGTCAGCTTGTTCAATTACACTTTGAAAAATAAAAAAAAGGCTGAGGCTGATTGGTTTTTCGTAAATAACCCCCCCCCCCCCCCCAATGACACCTTATGGACCTGGTGTATTTATTGAAAGCAATCATGCCATTTTTCTGTACAAGATTGCCTGTTGATTGTATGAAGGAAACGTTTTTCCTTCGTTGACGTGTGAACATTCTTTTTTTTTTTTGATTTCCTTCGGATGTTGGAGTCTTACTTTTCCTAGCTCACACACAATTTTTATGGGTGAACGCGTCTCCCTCAGTGGGCAAGAGGGGGCGGGGGGGGGGGGGAGGCGCACGTGAGCGGGTCGCGTTCCCTCAGTCAATGGGAGTGTGTGTGTGGGGGGGGGGCGCATGTCTATTAATGGGCAGGGCTAGGAGGGAATGTGGCGGTGAAGCTGACTAGGGGACCACAAGCACGCCATGCGTCTGCACAGTGACCTGTATTTTTGATCTGCAAACTTAAGAGTTGCACACTGATCGCTCCAGCACTGCTTCCTTGCTTGGCATGGTCGGAATGCTATATGAGGTAGAGGGGGGGTGGCAGGATCACCAGGGATTTGCTGGGAAATAAAAGTGTAGGGGAACAAGAATTAACATTTACGTGTTACTTTATTAAAAAATTTATATTTGATGTCCTTCCAGTCAACGAGCGTAGAAAGGACGTCCTCTCCAGACTGCACCCGGAGCCAGTAGAAGAGACCACAACCTGGGGACAAGGTTTGTACTGGTGGTGGTTTTTTTTTTTTTTTTGAAAAGGTTTTTTTTTTTTTTTTTTTTTTTTTTTTTTTTTTTTAGGTGGGACATAGGAAAAGACCAATACATAATATATTGAAATACATATACACTATGTGAACTTTATCAAACCTTTTTTTTTTTTTTTTTTTTTTTGTTTTCACACTCCAGACGGTAAGATCATTTAACAGCTTCGGCATTAATAATTCCAAGTTTGATTTGACTGCTTCCTGGATTGTGTTCCTGCGAATTGGGCAGTGGTGTTAATGTATTGAGAATGGGAAAGTTTTCTGTAAAAATATAATTTGCATATTACTGAGAGGACAGGACTCGGGGAAGGCAAAATACACACAGACTAAAGCTCCGCTTTAAATCCAAGCTGCTTGCAGTGGTGATGAGTCTGAAGAAAGACCGTATTGGAGAGAACTCATCTGTTCTTCATCTCTTGTTTTTTTGCTTTTATCAGACGTTGAAGGAACAGAAAATCTTCGGGCCATGGACAGCCGGTCCTTCATCCTGAAAAGTCCAAAAGTATCCAAGACGCCCCCCATGCAGACTCCTCCCACAGCTGACAGTCCACAGCAGTTTGGAAGACTTGCACAGCCCAGGTAGGGGAACAGTCAGGAGAGGTAGATAACAAATAGAGCGGAGTCCTCCGGCAGCGCAGAGTATTTCAGGAGAGGAGAGATATAGAGGAAGGAGCGGAGTCCTCCAGCAGTGCAGAGTATTTCAGGAGAGGAGAGATATAGAGGAAGGAGCGGAGTCCTCCAGCAGAGCAGAGTATTTCAGGAGAGGAGAGTTCTAGAGGAAGGAGCGGAGTCCTCCAGCAGTGCAGAGTATTTCAGGAGAGGAGAGGAGAGATATAGAGGAAGGAGCGGAGTCCTCCAGCAGTGCAGAGTATTTCAGGAGAGGAGAGATATAGAGGAAGGAGCGGAGTCCTCCAGCAGTGCAGAGTATTTCAGGAGAGGAGAGGAGAGATATAGAGGAAGGAGCGGAGTCCTCCAGCAGAGCAGAGGATTTCAGGAGACTTCTGTACAACCAGCCTGCCCATATATGGATTGAAATTCAGCCAACCCCTGCTGATCTGGAGGACGTTCGATCCATATATAGTCGGAATTAGATTGTGGTTTTATATTCTAAACAATAACAAGACTGTTTTTCATTTTAGAGAGAATCCAATACCTGAAAAGCCGGCAAGTCCCAAGTTTATTGTGACTCTAGATGGGGTCCCAAGCCCCCGTGCTTATCACTCTGAAGAAGAGGTGGAGCCGATGGAGTATACAGAGGAAGGCCTGTACGCCGAACCTCACAACCTGCTCAGCAGGGCTGAGCAAAGTCATCCTATGCATCCGAATTCCCAGGATGTGCGCACTTCTAATGGTATGCCATGTCACGTGTCCAGTGGTGTGCATAGATACAGAAGTTTCTGTAGATGTGTTGTGATGGATTTGGTAAAATGCCTATTCGGTTTCCTGTTTAAAATATGTGTGTGTATGTATGTATGTATGTATATGTGTGTGTGTGTGTGTGTGTGTGTATATATATATATATATATAATATATATATATATATATATATATATATATATATATATATATATATGTATAGTGTGTGTGTATGTGTGTATGTGTGTATATATATATATATATATACACATATATTTTAAACAGGAAAACGAATAGGCATTTTACCAAATCCATCAGTGTATGCAAATTCATATTTTATAGCTGCAGTGGGCACTTAACCAGTCAGTTCAGTTTTAGCTTTCATTCGTTCTTTCCCTCTCTCACAATACTCTCCTTTCTCAGTGCTTTCTCCTTCCAACACTATCATCAATATGAAGCATAACTAAACCCAGCAATATAATGGTTTCCCAAACCGTTCCATGTAGGGCATGCCTTGAATGATGGCTGTTACAGCTCCTACCGCTCAGTTCTCAACCGAACCACCATTAAAAGGCTGCTGTCATAGCTGATCACATGTGCAGCACCACAGGAACTGCAAATTAGACAGAGGCTATTATGGCAGCTTCTGTAAAGAATAAGATTTAGTTCCACTTTAACCTCCCTGGCGGTATTCCCGAGTGTAGCTCGGGGTAAAGTTTCAGTATCACAAGCAGGTAGCCCCCCCGAGCTACACTCGGGAATACACTGCAGCGTTGCTCCGGGATCTCTTCTTCACTTACCTTGTCCTGGCTGCGCTCCCCCGATGTCCCCCCTGCAGTGTCCCCTGTAATGTCCTCCGGCTGATGCCGGCATCTGTCTTCTGGGTTCCGTTCCCTGCAACATCGGGACGTACGGGGGACAGAGCGGCGGGAAATTTGAAAGTTATAAAAGTGACATTCACTAAATACACTAAAATCAAAAGTATAACATTCCTGTATCAAACCATTTCACATACATTTTGTCCCGAGTTTTGTCCGGCGCCCTGCCTGCATTTTTACTGTTCTTTCTGCCTGAAAACTGAGAAACATCCATGGAGTCCAAAAAGCGTCCCTTTAGGTCAAAAGTGGTTTTAAAAACCGGCTAGAGAACAGCGATAGTAAATCAGAACCACTTGCAGAATTGAGTGATAATGATTCGTGGGGGAAATTCCTCATCAGACACTGAAAACGATTCTGCGACTTTGCTCAGTGATGTGCGAACTTGGCGCTCTATTTCACATTTCAGTGTTTTTGGTTACATTATATTATTGAATTAAATTTATTATTATATTTTTTTATGATTATTATATTATAATTTATGATTTTGTGTTTCAAATTTTAACATACCCGGGATGTTTACTAGACTCTTGTTCAGACAGATTTCAGTGAGTTATTCCTAAGAATTACAGGCTACAATAAAAAAAACTACATATTTCCATGCAAAAAAATGTACCGCTTTGAGCACTAAAATATGGACATAATCAGACCGCTAGGGAGGTTAATGGAAACACCTGTATGATCTGTAAAGGGGCAGTGTAGCCCCAGAGTGTGCCCGCTATTTATCTGTATCATTGCTTCACTTTGCAGAATAATGTAAAGATTTGTGGGGGAGGTTACCCTTTCTGTTGGAGATCATTGATTTTCTACTTTTTACTGCAGATGCTGCTGTTTCTGCAAAGGCAAAGATCCACGAGCGCTGCAAGTATTGGCCAGCATGCAAGAATGCAGAGCTCTGCGCCTATCACCACCCAACTACTGTGTGCAAGTAAGTGATCAGATAATGGTGGAGACTTTACACAGACCTTCGCACTCAACTAATGTAAAGCGCTGACAAAGAAAGGGTTTATATCGTACACCCTCCTAAACCTTGTGGACGGCCTTCTCAGAAAGAATTGAAGCTGTTATAGCTGCAAAGGGCGGGCCAACTCAATATTGAACCCTACGGACTAAGACTGGGGGGGGGCCATTAAAATATATATATATATATATATATATATATATATATATATATACAGTTGTGACCAAAATATTATTCAACCCCCACTGAAATTGAGTGTTTTTTGGCCAGTTTGACATTGCTTTTGATCATTCAGTCATCTTGCTTACATTTACATTAAAGAGGCACTTGTAGGTCAGACAAATATAACATAACAGTTATAATGAAATAACCACAAATGTTCTTTTCTGTGCTCACAGCATTATCAGTTTTATTCAACCCCCAAGTGACATTCAATCTTAGTACAGCATCCTTTTACAGTTATAACAGCTTTTAAACGTGAAGCATAGCTTGACACAAGTGTCTTGCAGCGATCTACGGGTATCTTCGCCCATTCTTCATGGCAAAGGCCTCCAGTTCAGTCACATTCTTAGGCTTGCGCACTGCAACTGCTTTCTTTAAGTCCCACCAGAGGTTCTCAATCGGATTTAAGTCTGGTGACTGCGATGGCCACTCCAAAATGTTCCAGCCTTTCCTCTGCAACCATGCTCTAGTGGACTTGGAGGTATGCTTGGGATCATTGTCCTGTTGAAAGGTCCAACGTCTCCCAAGCCTCAGGTGTGTGACGGACTGCATCACGTTTCCATCCAATATCTCCTGGTACTGAAGAGAATTCATGGTACCTTGCACACGCTGAAGCTTCCCTGTACCTGCAGAAGCAAAACAGCCCCAAAGCATGATTGACCCTCCACCATGCTTCACAGTAGGCAAGGTGTTCTTTTCATCATAGGCCTTGTTCTTCCTCCTCCAAACAATAGCGTTGATCCATGGGCCCAAACAGTTCTAATTTTGTTTCATCAGTCCACAGAACACTATCCCACAACTTTTGTGGTTTGTCCACATGGCTTTTGGCATACTGCAGTCGACTCTTCTTATTCTTTGGAGACAGCAAGGGGGTACGCCTGGGAGTTCTGGCACGGAGGCCTTCATTACGCAGTGTGCGTCTTATTGTCTGGGCTGAAACTTCTGTACCCACATCTGACAAATCTTTTCTCAGTTCCTCAGCAGTCACACGGGGACTTCTCTCCACTCTACGCTTCAGGTAGCGCACAGCAGTCGAAGTCAGCATCTTCTTTCTGCCACGACCAGGTAGCGTTTCAACAGTGCCCTTTGCCTTGAATTTGCGAATGATGCTTCCTAAGGTGTCTCTTGGTATGTTTAACATCTTTGCAATCTTCTTATAGCCATTGCCCTTCCTGTGAAGAGAAATCACCTCTTCTCTTGTCTTCCTGGACCATTCTCTTGCCTTCACCATGTTTGTAACCACACCAGTAAATGTCTAGAAGGAGCTGAGTATCACAGTCATTTTAAAGCTGCCTAATTGGTGCTTATTATGCTTGATTGCTGCTCGTGACATCCACAGGTGTTTTCAATACCTGATGGAAAGCACCTGTATGAACCTCTGTTCTTCAGAGTGGTAGTCTTTAAGGGGTTGAATAATTGTGGCAATGAAGAAACCACATAAGAACCATTTACTACTGTATTACATAAACAATTGATGTCATTTTAGTTGCATTTGGGTAGTTACAACGTCCTTGTAGGATTTGATTCTGAATACAATTCCAAATGTACACTATAGTCCCTAAACCCCTTTACAGCATTGGGGGTTGAATAATTTTGGTCACAACTGTATATGTATATATATATATATATATATATATATATATATATATATAATCTCTCTCTATCCAAAAGTATTGGGCCGCCGGCCTTTACACACACATGAAATTTAATGGCCCCCCAGTCTTAGTCCGTAGGGTTCAATATTGAGTTGGCCCCGCCCTTTGCAGCTATAACAGCTTCACCTCTTCTGGGAAGGCCGTCCACAAGGTTTAGGAGGGTGTCTATGGGAAGTTGGACCATTCTTCCAGAAGCACATTTGTCAGGTCAGGCACTGATGTCGGTGGAGGAGGCCTGGCTTGCAGTCTCAGCTCTAATTCATCCCAAAGGTGTTCTATGGGGTTGAGGTCAGGACTCTGTGCAGGACAGTCATGTTCCTCCACCCCAAACTGGCTCCTCCATGTCTTTATGGACCTTGCTTTGTGCACTGGTGTGCAGTCATGTTGGAACAGGAAGGGGCCATCCCCAAACTCTTCCCACAAAGTGAGGAGCATGACATTTGTCCAAAATGTCTTGAAAGGCTGACGTCTTAAGAGTTCCCTTTACTGGAACTAGGGGGCCAAGCCCAACCCCTGAAAAACAACCCCACACCATAATCCCCCCTCCACCAAACTTTACACTTGGCACAATGCAGTCAGGCAAGTACTGTTCTCCTGTCAACTGCCAAACCCAGACACATCCATCAGATTGTCAGAGAAGCGTGATTGGTCACTCCAGAGAACACTTCTCCACTGCTCTAGAGTCCAGTGGCGGCGTGCTTTACACCACTGCATCCGACGCTTTGCATTGCACTTGGTGATGTAAGGCTTGGATGCAGCTGCTCGGCCATGGAAACCCATTCCACGAAGCTCTCTACGCACTGTTGTTGGGCTCATCTGAAGGCCACACCAAGTTTGGAGGAGTTTAGCTATTGACTCAGCAGACAGTTGGCGACTTCTGCGCGCTTCAGCATGCTCTGATGCCGCTCTGTCATGTGACGTGGCCTACCACTTGGTGGCTGAGTTGCTGTTCCCGGTTGCTTCCACTTTGTTATAATCCCACTAACAGTTGAGCGTGGAATATTTAGTAGCCAGGAAATGTCACGGATGGACTTATTGCACAGGTGGCCACCTATCACGGGACCACGCTTGGAGTCACTGAGCTCCTGAGAGCGACCCATTCTTTCACCAATGTTTGTAGAAGCAGTCTGCATGCCTAGGGGCTTGATTGTATACACCTGTGTCCATGGAGGTGATTGGAACACCTGAATCACATGACTTGGAGGGCGGGGCCAATAATTTTGGCAATATAGTGTATTTTAGATCTGTTTAACTGCCAAAAGAGTCATATGTCTACCCATCCATTCCTGAGATCACCCAGCTCTGCCACACAGTCCTGTCTAACAGGGCAGCACACCTGATTTTTTTTCTGGGGCAGTTAAAGTATTCTCTCCAAGCAGAAAATAAAAATGAGTCTGGACATTAGCATTTAACTTTATATTTCAAAGTCTTTGCATATCCCTAGTTGATCCTGCCAGTTTCCGGTGTATGCAGATAATTCAGGTGTTGGGCCAATATTGCTCTATAGCTCAGCATTGTCGGCATCTGAAAGTTCTTTCAGTTGATTCATTGATTACATCAGTGGCAGTTAGACGCTTCCTTTCACGTGCACTAGAGCACACTGTTCCACAGATCCCTACAGCACACGTGGCCGAATAAAGGGGGAGCACCAAATGCATGAACTGGTAATAGTGAGCAGCACGTCACACAGTCATAGCGGTCTTCCCACCATGTTGCCTATGGCTGACTGTATGGGATAATGTAATGTGCTGTTCACACATTATTGCACCTTAGTCCTACTATAAGGGAACTGGTTTTTTTTTTTTCCCCATTTTAAAGCAGAACTACAGTGTTATCTGGGCACCACAAACCAAAAGCCCTGTTTATTTTTTATATTGAGAGGAACAGAATTTATTTTCTCTTGAGAAGAGGAGATTAAGGGGGGGATATGATCAACATGTACAAAATACAGATCTCCATGTATAATACATAAGGGGGGGGATATGATCTCCATGTATAATACATAAGGGGGGGGGGGATATGATCTCCATGTATAATACATAAAGGGGGGGATATGATCTCCATGTATAATACATAAGGGGGGGGATACGATGTCCATGTGTAATACATAAGGGGGGGGGGTACGATGTCCCATGTGTAATACATAAGGGGGGGGGATACGATGTCCATGTATAATACATAAGGGGGGGGGATACGATGTCCATGTATAATACATAAGGGGGGGATACGATGTCCATGTATAATACATAAGGGGGGGATACGATGTCCATGTATAATACATAAGGGGGGGATACGATGTCCATGTATAATACATAAGGGGGGATACGATGTCCATGTATAATAAGGGGGGGGGGATGTGATCTCCATGTATAATACATAAGGGGGGATGTGATCTCCATGTATAATACATAAGGGGGGGATATGATCTCCATGTATAAATACATCAGTGGTCCATATAGTGAACCCGGTGTAGTTATTCCCCCTGAGGTCATCACAGAGGACAAGGGGGCGCTCTTTACGTCTGGAGGAAAAAGAAATTTAATCTCCAAACACGGGAAGGTTTCTTCACAGTGAAGCTGTGAGAATGTGGGATAGACTCCCTCAAGAGTTGGTTGTGGCCAGCTCAGTGGATTTCTGTAGAAAAAGTCCTGAATTCTTTCCTAGATACACAAAATATAACTGGATATAACATTAACAGGTAAAGTTGATCCAGGGAATATCTGATTTGCCTCTCGGGGATCAGGAAGTAAATTTTTTTTCCCCCTGCAGGAGCAAATTGGATCGTGCTTTGCTGGGTTGTGTTTTTTTTTTTTTTTTTTTTTTTTTTTTTTTTTTTTTTTTTTTTTTTTTTTTGCTTTCCTCTGGATCAACTGTGGGTGTAGGATTATACTTTTTTTTTTTTTTTTTTTTTTTTTTTCTTCAGCCAGGCTATCTGTGTAACTATATTCAACGCCCCCCCCCCCCCCCCCCCCGGCATCCATCCATGTCTCCATGCTTTAATTTTTCTGAGAAATCGCTTCGAAAAACACCTCCTAGCATTTCTAGTCATCTTTAGTAAGGGCAGATGATTCATGTAGTAGTTACTTCCTGTAATCCATCTGCTTTTAGCTCAGGCATGCAGGCAGGAGGGTGTGCTTCCCTGAGAGAACCCTTCCTGAAGACTTCTGAGATGTATGACTTAATTTGCCTAGGCCTAAAAACTAGGAAATAACTAAAAAAAATTTAAAAGAAGTAAATACTATCTGTATACTAATGCTAGCAGCATAAGGGTTAAAAATAGTCAATGTTGATTTTTAGAGTGAATTTCCACTTTAAGGCTGATCTGACTTTAATCTTCTGATTTGACATGTTGGTGCTGCATTTGCTCTCATTTTAGGGCTTTCCCCAAGTGCCGCTTTGCTGATAAATGCTTCTTCATCCACCCGAACTGCAAATTCGATGCCAAGTGTACCAAAGCCGACTGTCCTTACACACACACGCCAGCAGACGGATTCCGCCACCTCCTGTGAAACAAGGTACCCGTACGAGCCTACAGACAGTAAATAACGTGGAACAGCATTGCTGCTTGTTTTACTCATATCAATTTCAGTGGTTGTAGGTTTTAAATAAATCTACGTGGGCTGTTCCTGCCAAGGTGGCACCTTCTGTGAGACGTGGGGCATCTCTTGAGCCTTCAGCTGTCTCTTGATGCTTTAGAACAGCGTTTCTAAACCTTTTTTTCAGTCAAGGCAGCCTATAAAATAACGGACCGTCCCGGGGCAGCCTATAAAATAACGGACCGTCCCGGGGCAGCCTATAAAATAACGGACCGTCCCGGGGCAGCCTATAAAATAACGGACCGTCCCGGGGCAGCCTATTAAAAGAACGGACCGCCCTATAAAATAACGGACCGTCCCGGGGCAGCCTATAAAAGAACGGACCGTCCCGGGGCAGCCTATAAAAGAACGGACCGTCCCGGGGCAGCCTATTAAAAGAACGGACCGTCCCGGGGCAGCCTATATAAAAGAACGGACCGTCCCGGGGCAGCCTATAAAAGAACGGACCGTCCCGGGGCAGCCTATAAAAGAACGGACCGTCCCGGGGCAGCCTATAAAAGAACGGACCGTCCCGGGGCAGCCTATAAAAGAACGGACCGTCCCGGGGCAGCCTATAAAAGAACGGACCGTCCCGGGGCAGCCTATAAAAGAACGGACCGTCCCGGGGCAGCCTATAAAACAACGGACAGCCTTGAGGCACCCCATTCCAAAATGTTAAACTATTCTAATAGTTTTATATAACACAGCAACATCCACACATGTAGGAAACCCAACATGAAGGTAATTTATTCTTCCAAAGCAAATGCACTTTTGCCCCCTGGTACTGACTAGTATTCCAATGTTTCTCTTCCTCAGTTTTTTCTCCCATCACTAAGCTAATGTGACCCTAGCACTGATGGAAAGGGGCAGGGGAGGGTCAAACTAGGATGCTGTGCAGGCTTGCTTGTATACAAGTTGTGACGGAAGTCGCTTTGGGTGGGGGGCCCATGAAACACAGCTCACTTTGGAGAGGTGGCGAGACCCCTGTCTGAGCTCCTCTTATCCCTCTTATTTTAAGTCACCCTGTGCCTGTTAGGGGTACAGGGTGATCTGTCCTAATATTGGGGTGGGGGTTGTTGATTGTTTAATGCCATGTGGTTGCATCCATTATTCTATTTGTCTTGCTTGGGAGCAAACTATTATGGGATGTATGTGTTTGTGTATTGGCTTGGAGGGGGGAGTCTCAGCAGCCCTCCCTCCTGATGGGACTGTCTGCTGGTGTGAAGTTTTGAATACCTGTGTCTCTCTTGTTGCTAAGTGTAGATTGCCCCAACCTGTGTCATTATGCAGGGAGGGGGGATTGTCCCCTGAGTGCATTAGAAGTCAGTTCGAGTTTCAAATAAAGAGTTCCATGTTCAGACAGACTGGGTCGTCAGAGTGGTATGGTCGTCTAGTCTTTAGTATGTCGGCTGTGGGTGTCTTGTTGTTGGGTGTTCGGCCGAAAGTTACGGGAAAGCGGTAATTCTAACGGAAGTACCCAAGTGCAGTCCTGGGTCGGTTCTGTTACACCACTAGTTTTGGGCAATTTTTAGACATTTTTGCCAAGGCAGCCCCCTGAAGAAACCTCAAGGCACATGACCCTGGCTGAGTAAGGTTGCTTTAGAAAAACTGCAGAATCTGCACTCATGCGCCATCTTTTCCATAGGCAGAAGCTTTGGGCTGGTGAGCTCTGTGCTGCCTCTGGTGGCTTGAAGTTGTTTACATTCATTATCACTTTAATGAGAAACATTTTACAAGTCATACGTGCCTGCTCTGTGCCAGCACCCCCCCCCCCCCTGCTGAGTGCTCCCACCATAGCAAGCTGCTTGCTATGGAGGCACTCTGGCTAGTGCTCGCCATAACTCTGAGCCAGCTCTGTGTCCATAAATACACAGCACGGCTCAGACCCACATCCTGCTCCCTTCCTCACTAGCTGGGATTTGATGGCATCAGTGGAAAGGAAGAGAGCCGGGAGAGCTGCTGCTCTCGAGCACATCACTAATCTGGGACACAATCGGGCTCAGTAAGTATTGGGGGGGTCTGCAACACAGAAGGGTGTTTTTTTTACCTTCATGCAAAGTTTTATTTTGAAGGTAAAAAATCTTCAGCCTTTTAGAAACACGTTGGGGCCTCATGCACACTGCAGCATGTCAAGTGCCTGTTTTAAAGGCATTTGGTGTTTTGTTTTCTGTCTCTAAAAACCCCTCTATGGTGGCCTATGTGTCCATGCACACATAGGTTTTGGTGCAATCAGATTTCTGCCTAAACACCCTGTGTTCAGGAGAGAAACCTTTGGGCATAAAAAAAAAAACGCTGATGTGCCTAATCGGGTCTAAACACGATGCTTTAGTGCTAGCCGCGAGTCTGAATGTTCATGTCCAATGGTCAGAATAAATTTAATATTCTGACCATTACAGGGGAGGTGGGACTGTTCCGAGGGGAGCAAGAGATGGTCTTTAATCACTTTCCAGTCTGGACACTTCCCCCCCCCCCGTCCAGTCTGGACACTTCCCCCCCCCCCCCCCCCCCATTCCAGTCTGGACACTTCCCCCCCCCCCCCCCTTCCCAGTCTGGACACTTCCCCCCCCCCCCCCCCCTTCCAGTCCTGGACACTTCCCCCCCCCCCCCTTCCAGTCTGGACACTTCCCCCCCCCCCCCCCTTCCAGTCTGGACACTTTTTCCCCCCCCCCCCCCCCCCCCCCCCCCCCCCCCCCCCGCCCCCCACCCCCCCCCCCTTCCAGTCTGGACACATCCCCCCCACCCCCCCCTTCCAGTCTGGACACTTCCCCCCCTTCCCCCCCCCCTTTCCAGTCTGGACACTTTCTCCCCCCCCCCCCCCTTCCAGTCCTGGACACTTTCTCCCCCCCCCCCCCTTCCCTCTGGACACTTTTCCCCCCTCCCCCCTTCCAGTCTGGACACTTTCCCCCCCCGCCCCTTCCAGTCTGGACACTTTCTCCCCCCCCCCCCCTTCCAGTCTGGACACTTTCTCCCCCCCCCCCTTCCAGTCTGGACACTTCCCCCCCCCCCCCCCCCCCCCCCACCCCCCCCTCCAGTCCCCACCCCTTCCCCCCCCTTCCAGTCTGGACACTTTCTCCCCCCCCCCCCCCTTCCAGTCTGGACACTTTCTCCCCCCCCCCCCCCCCCTTCCAGTCTGGACACTTTAACCCCCCCCCCCCCCTTCCAGTCTGGACACTTCCCCCCCCCCTTCCAGTCTGGACACTTTTTCCCCCTCCTTCCTGCCCAGGCCAATTTTCAGCTTTCAGCACTATCACACTTTGACAATTGCGCGCTCATGCAACACTGTACCCAGATGAATTTTGTAGCATTTTTTTTGAGACCGGTAAAACTTTTATTTTGGTGGTATTTATTCACCACTGGGATTTTTATTTTTTTTGCTATATACAGTGGGGATCGAAAGTTTGGGCACCCCAGATAAAAATTTGTATTAATGTGCATAAAGAAGCCAAGGAAAGATGGAAAAATCTCCAAAAGGCCTCAAATTACAGATTAGACATTTTTATAATATGTCAACAAAAGTTAGATTTTATTTCCATCATTTACACTTTCAAAATAACAAAAAAATGGCGTCTGCAAAAGTTTAGGCACCCTGCAGAATTTATAGCATGCACTGCCCCCTTTGCCAAGCTGAGACCTGCCAGTGTCATGGATTGTTCTCAGTCATCGTCTGGGAAGACCAGGTGATGTCAATCTCAAAGGTTTTAAATGCCCAGAATCATCTGACCTTGCCCCAACAATCAGCACCATGGGTTCTTCTAAGCAGTTGTCTAGAAAACTGAAACTGAAAATAGTCGACGCTCACAAAGCTGGAGAAGGCTATAAGAAGATAGCAAAGCGTTTTCAGATGTCAATATCCTCTGTTCGGAATGTAATTAGGAAATGGCAGTCATCAGGAACAGTGGAAGTTAAAGCAAGATCTGGAAGACCAAGAAAAATATCAGACAGAACAGCTCGCAGGATTGTGAGAAAAACCATTCAAAACCCACGTTTGACTGCACGATCCCTCCAGATAGATCTGGCAGACACTGGAGTTGTGGTACACTATTCCACTATAAAGAGATACTTGTACAAATATGGTCTTCATGGAAGAGTCATCAGAAGAAAACCTCTTCTACGTCCTCACCACAAAAACCATCGTTTTGAACTTTGCAAATGAACATATAGACAAGCCTGATGCATTTTGGAAACAAGTTCTGTGGACCGATGAGGTTAAAATTGAACTTTTTGGCCGTATGAGCAAAGGTACGTTTGGAGAAGAAGGGGCACAGAATTTAATGAAAAGAACCTCTGTCCAACTGTTCAGCATGGGGTTGGATCAATCATGCTTTGGGGTTGTGTTGCAGCCAGTGGCACAGGGAACATCTCACGAGTAGAAGGAAAAATGGATTCAATAAAATTTCAGCAAATTTTGGATGGTAACTTGATGCCATCTGTGAAAAAGCTGAAAGTTAAAGAGAGGATGGCTTCTACAAATGGATAATGATCCTAAACACACCTCAAAATCCACGGGGATTACATCAAGAGGCGTAAACTGAAGGTTTTGCCATGGCCTTCACAATCTCCTGACCTCAACATAATTGAGATTTCTGGGCTGTCTGTCACGTACTGCTCTTTTAAGGTCTATCCATAGATTTTCAAAGAACTGGAAGACTTTTGTAAGGAAGAATGGGCAAAGATACCTCAAACAAGAATTGAAAGACTCTTGGCTGGCTACAAAAGCGTTTACAAGCTGTGATACTTGCCAAAGGGGGCAGTACAAGATATTAACTCTGCAGGGTGCCCAAACTTTTGCAGACGCCATTTTTTTGTTTTCTGTTATTTTGAAAGTGTAAATGATGGAAATAAAATCTAACTTTTGTTGACATATCCAAAAGGCATCAAATTACAGATTAGACATTCTTATAATATTTTTCCATCTTTCCTTGGCTTCTTAATGCACATTAATACAAATTTTTATCTGGGGTGCCCAAACTTTCGATCCCCACTGTAAATGAAAGTATAAACATTTTGAAAAAAGTGTTTTTTCTTATAAAATTTTGCAAATACATAATCTTTCTTCATAATTCTTGGCCAAAATGTATTCAGCTATCTTTTTAGTAAAAAGAAAAAATAACTCAAATTAGTTTATGAGCAAAAATCATTTTTTTTTTTTTTTTTTTTATATAATTTTTTTTTTTTTTTTTATAACATACGGTCACCCTAGCAGTACAGTGTCACCATACTGACACTGTACTACTTGTGGGGAGTGATGAAAATCTTTTTTTCTTAACACTGATTGCTTTTATAGCCTTTATGGGCGTAAAATCAATCATTTCTCCTTCTCTCAGGCTGCATTCTTGCAGCCATTGAGAAATACTGTGAGAGCTTTGATTGGTCACAGCTTGTCACATGGTACAAGGGTGTTGTGAATAGCCCTGTACTATGTGATCTCTGTGATCATTGTTTACTACGTGTGAAATCTGTGAATGATGTCAGAAGTTACATCTTGCTTACTACTATTCATGTGATCGCTGATTGGCCAATCAGTGATCACATGATCGGGACCTCACACAGCGATCAGTGTACAGTGATCGGTGTTCCTCCAGACACAGCGGGTACCAGATCGCGGTGCCGCGCATTGCCAGGCAGGGAAGCGGGGAGGACGTTTATAAATAGCAACCCACTCCTGCACTGCTCCCGTCTGGCCGTTTATATACATGGGACAGACGGGAAGTGGTTAAGGAGACAGTGTCACTTTAGAAGAAATATCTTTGAAATGGGCTCTCCCGTGACCCCCTTATTCTGGCCTAACCTATGCTCCCTCTCAGCTCCTTGCCCTTCCCCAACTAGCGCTGAAATGGTCAGCAGCCCAGGAAGCAGTGGTGGCACTCCCGTGGTCATGTGACAGTGTTCTATGGTATGGGCCTAGTGGTAGTGGGGCACCATCACAGGGGAGCAGGTCTCATGCTCCTGCATACCTAGAAGTGTCAGGTATTTTTGATGACTGCAAAATAGCAAAGAGCTGCGAGGCAGTGCATATAAGGGGGGAGCACAAGGGTCAGGGCTGGGGGGGCCTTTGAAGAGACATTGACCCCTTCTTGCCTATGCGCTCCTTGATAACAGGTTTTTTTTTTTTTTTTTTTTCGTTCCCCAGAACCGACTGTCAAGAGCCATGTAAGGGTTCAGTGTCGTTACTTTCCTTCATGCAAAAACACAGAGTGCACATATTATCACCCAAAGGTAAGAGTAGAAGCCATGATTCCTCAATGGCTCACAGTCATGTGCTGGCTGTACCTGATCCAATAATACAGCATGACTGGAAGACCTCTTACCTGCACCATTGTCATCCATTGTCTCTCTCCATGTTGTAGCACTGCAGGTTCAGCAGCCATTGTACACGGGTAGACTGTGAATTTTACCATCCGACTACCACTGTCCCTCCCCGACATGCCTTAACCTGGACACGGGCACAAGCTAGGTAAGGCTCTTCTTGTCACCAAAAAGTTTGTACATATGTGTTCTATATAATATATTTCTTTAGACCTGACCTCCGGCCTTCCCTTCAGTCCTGCACAGTTGTACCGGCTCCTCTACTGGACTGAAATGGCTTCCTCTGATTTCACCGCACACTGTGAGCTTCACAATGTGCATTAGAAACTGCACCAAGTCAGAGCTCCGCCTCATTTCCTGGATGGAGGACGGCCTGCAAAACGTAGCCCTTTCCTCTCCAGCCTAAATGAAATCCAACGAATGCAAGGAGCAGGACAGGGACAGTTATGGAGTGTGAGCATCACACATAGGCATTATATAGGGTGGTCTGCATACAAACACAGTAAGCCTAGGAACAACCACTCCTCCAGACTGACATAACCCCCCATTAAGACAGTCTGAGTTTTGTATTGTATCAGGGCTGAGAGGGCTCTTGAGAGGAGTACTGAGGCTGGTATGCTGATGTTTTCAGGAACCACCATGCTGGTCCCTCCATTGCATAGAGAAGCACAGGGCTCCAGTGGTGACATCATTGGGTCTAAAATGATGTATGTAATGAAAACGGAAAGATTGATGTATTACGTTTTGTTGCCTTTCCTGGTTCCTTCTTATCCCCATCAGGAAAATGCTAAAGGATAAGTAGATTAAACTTACGCTATTGTGTTATTTATAGTGTGTGTGTATATGTGTGTGTGTGTGTATGTTACATAGTCTGGCTGAAAGAAGACAGCAGTCCATCCAGTTCAACCATAGATATAAAAACAAAAAAAAAAAAAAGTTATAATCCTACACCCACGGTTGATCCAGAGGAAGACAAAAAAACCCAATTTGCTCCTGCAGGGAAAAAAATTCCTTCCTGATCCCCCGAGAGGCAATCGGATATTCCCTGGATCAACTTTACCTATAAATGTTATATCCAGTTATATTCTGTGTATCCAAGAAAGGATCCAGGACTTTCCTACAGCAATCCACTGAGCTGGCCACAACCAACTCTTGAGGGAGTCTATTCCACATTTTCACAGCACTTACTGTGAAGAAACCTTTCCATGTTTGGAGATTAAATCTCTTTTCCTCCAGACATAAAGAGCTCCCCTTGTCCTCTGTGATGACCTCAGGGGGAATAACTCTACAATGAGTTCACTATATGAACCACTGATGTATTTATACATGGAGATCATACCCCCCCTTATGTATTATACATGGAGATCATATCCCCCCTTATGTATTATACATGGAGATTATATCCCCCCCCTTATGTATTATACATGGAGATCACATCCCCCCCCCCCCTTATGTATTATACATGGAGATCATATCCCCCTTATGTATTATACATGGAGATCATATCCCCCTTATGTATTATACATGGAGATCATATCCCCCCTTATGTATTATACATGGAGATCACATCCCCCCTTATGTATTATACATGGAGATCATATCCCCCCCTTATGTATTATACGGGAGATCATATCCCCCTTATGTATTATACATGGAGATCATACCCCCCTTATGTATTATACATGGAGATTATATCCCCCCCTTATGTATTATACATGGAGATCACATCCCCCCCTTATGTATTATACATGGAGATCATATCCCCCCTTTATGTATTATACATGGAGATCACGTCCCCCCCCCTTATGTATTATACATGGAGATCATATCCCCCCTTATGTATTATACATGGAGATCATATCCCCCCTTATGTATTATACATGGTGATCATATCCCCCCCCTTATGTATTATACATGGAGATCATATCCCCCCCTTATGTATTATACATGGAGATCATATCCCCCCCTTATGTATTATACATGGAGATCATATCCCCCCCTTATGTATTATACATGGAGATCATATCCCCCCCTTATGTATTATACATGGAGATCATATCCCCCCTTATGTATTATACATGGAGATCATATCCCCCCTTATGTATTATACATGGTGATCATATCCCCCCTTATGTATTATACATGGAGATCATATCCCCCCTTATGTATTATACATGGAGATCATATCCCCCCTTATGTATTATACATGGAGATCATATCCCCCCTTATGTATTATACATGGAGATCATATCCCCCCTTATGTATTATACATGGAGATCATATCCCCCCTTATGTATTATACATGGAGATCACATCCCCCCCTTATGTATTATACATGGAGATCACATCCCCCCCTTATGTATTATACATGGAGATCACATCCCCCCCTTATGTATTATACATGGAGATCACATCCCCCCCTTATGTATTATACATGGAGATCATATCCCCCTTATGTATTATACATGGAGATCATACCCCCTTATGTATTATACATGGAGATCATATCCCCCTTATGTATTATACATGGAGATCATATCCCCCTTATGTATTATACATGGAGATCATATGAGCAGGGCCCACGAACCCCTCGTGTATCGCATTGTATTGTTTTACTGTCTCATGTATTGTCTAGCGCTGAGTGAACTGTTGGCACTATATAAATACTGTATAATAATATCCCCCTTAATCTCCTCTTCTTTAGAAAGAATGAATTCAGTTCCTCTCTTTCCTCATAGCTGATCTCCTCCATGCCGTGTGTGTGTGTGTCTCTCTATATATAATGTCATATCGTTGATCTATTACCAGTGCCATCTAATGCTGTGAATTATTTCCTTGTCTTTCAGCAGCGATTGATGTCCTGGACTATAGGAGCCCCCCCTGCTCTGGAAGCTGTAACATTGCCCCCGGTCCTTCTACCAGCAAAACCGTCCTGAACTGCGATGGTCCCGTTTTTTCAGTTTTTTGTTTTAAACGTATTTTAGACTTTTATTTATATTTGAGAAAGCAAAAGTGTGCTTTGTACCTGTGAAGGTTTTGGGGAAACCTTGTGTAATTTGCTTTTATAAACTGTGTACATGATCACCTTGGCACATTTTAGTTGTTGCAAGAAGCCGTGCTGAGTTTTCACACAATATATTTTTCATTTCTAAGTCTATGTGCATTTTTTTTTTTTTTTTTCCTTGTGCCCGTGTCACCTGCAAGGACTTTCTCTTGATTATCAAAGTGTTAACCTGAAGCAGCCATGGTGGCACTGGGGAAAATGGAGAATGACGGATGAAATCTCCACGGCTGCTCTAGGGTGACGCAGGCCCTTTGATGAAGGAGGTGGAATGCACCTTAGATGACTATGTTCAATAATGCAGCCTATCAAAGTTGCTAGAAGGTGACAATCTCACTGCACCATGGGGGCCTCCTTACAGCAAAAATGTGGCAGAGTACTTAACGCTCCTCTCTGGGATACACTCAGTTTTTTTTTTTTCCCCCCACCAAGACTTCCCTATGGCCAGCCACAAACCAAACGCATAAAGTTTATCTGAATCTTACCTGAAATCACCTCAATAAGATGTTGCGATGTGACAAACTTTCACTTACTGTAACTTGGTCTGGCTGCTGGCAGGGATCATTGAGGTTGCATTCCAAGGATCCTCCATGGACCTTCGTAAACTACAAATCCCAGCATGCATCCATCATGGTGGGTAGCACAGCATAAGGCCCACCTCTGTGCTGCCACATTTTATGTGTATGGCCAACAGGAAGGAGTTAAAGTATATCTAATGCTAAACCTTTTTTTATTGCCACATCCTCCTCTGTCAAACCTTCCCTTGCAGGTAGCAAAAATCTTCTAAATGCCTGCAGTCACTCTCCATAGTCTCCTATAGATCTGTCGACACATCACCTCCTGTTTTGGTTGAGAGGACTGTAGATGTGTATGGAATACCTACAGCGCAATGGATCTCCTATATAACAAATATTGCAGCTAACATGTACTGTGTTCCCACATATAAACCCATAAAACAAAAAAAATGCAGCGCAATACTAGAAACTCACAAATGTTGCTAAATAAATCAAACCTGCAAATGTGAATATTGAAACATAAAATCCTGCTACATGACAATATTATGAAATGTATATTATTATTATACAGGATTTATATGGCGCCAACAGTTTGCTCAGCGCTTTACAATATAACGGGAGACAATACAGTTCAATACAAGAGGGATTTGAGGGCCCTGCTCCTTGGAGCTTACGATCTAGGAGGGAGGGGCTAGTGGTACTTTAGGTAGTAAATGTGGGGGATGGACTGGTTGGAAGAGTAGAAGATTCCAGTATTGGCTGAGGGCAGGATAGGCTTCCCTGAAGAGAGGTTTTCAGAGATCACCTAAAAGTTAGCAGAGTAGGCGATAGTCTGAAAAATTGGGGTAGAGAGTTCCAGAGGATGGGGGAAGCTCTGGAAAAGTCCTGGAGACAAGGGAGCTAGAGAGCAGGAGGTCTTGCGAGGAGCGGAGAGTACCGTTTGGGTGATATTTAGAGACAAGATTGGTGATGTAATGTGGGGCAGAGTTATAAATGGCTTTATATGTTATTATTTTGAATTTTATACGTTGGGCAATTGGAAGTCTGTGGAGGGATTGGCAGAGTGAGAGAGGGGTGGAGGACACTGAATGGAGGCCAGTGAAGGGATTGGCAGAGAGGGGTGGCAGATACAGAACGGTTAGTTAGGTGGATGAGTCTGGAAGCAGCATGCATGATAGACTGAAGAGGGGATAGCCTGCAATGAGGTCGGCCAATGAGGAGGGAGTTACAATAGTCAAGGTGAGATATAACAAGGGAGTGAATAAGTTGCTTTGTAGTTTCCGGGGTTAGGAACGGGCGTATCTTGGAGATGTTGCGGAGGTAAAGTGTACAAGATTTGGACAGTGATTGGGTCTGGGGCTGGAAGGACAGATGGGAGTCTAGGATTACACCTAGTACCCTGGCATGAGGGAGGGACTGATGATTGTGTTATTGATCTTGATGGAGAAGTCAGGGGAGGGGGTACAGGCTGGGGGGAATACTAAGAGCTCAGTTTTGGAAAGATTGAGTTTGAGGAAGTGGAGTGACATCCATGCCAATATATATAAACCCCTACTCATGCATATAACAGTGCTACATATATAGTGTATCCAAACACAAATGAATCGTCTCAATGGTGAACTGTTCCTTTAATGCTCCCCAATCTTCACATGTGCTGATGCAACTGTCTCCTGTGCATCGTATACCAAATACCATCAGCAAGTGTCCCAATCCTATGGTAACAAAATCCTGCTGAAGCGCCCCTTTAAGACCGCTGTGCTTCAAGTGCAATCACTCCACTGCATATACACATACAGTGCTCCTGTGTGCCCCTCCTCCCTCCTCCCAGTGCTTATCCACCTCCGACACACTTATGCACTCACCTTCTGGTTTGACCCGAATGGTCAGGTCAAACTGCGCCTTTCCCTTTAACCCAGGAAGGTATGCTGGTGCACAGATCTCCACCTCCTTCAGCACTTCTAAGCTCCAAAACCCTCCACTATATGGAGCATTTTTTAAAATTTATCTGTGAAGTATATCCAAATGTGTGGAACTTTATTAACATAATGTAAAAAACTGCACTCACATTAGTCCTGATGAAGTCACATGCCGTGACGTAACGCGTAGGGTACACCGATGACGTCAAGCCGTAGAACCGGAAGTGCACGTACTGCCATTTTGAAGGGATTATTATTATACAGTATTTATATCGCGCCAACGGTTTGCTCAGCGCAGTACATTATAGCGGGAGACAATGCAGCAACAATACAGTTCAATACAAGAGGGATTTGATCTATGTATTTAATTCATGTAATAACTATGAATAGATAGTCCTTGATCCTGTAGTGTCCCAAGTGGACACAAACCAATGTGAGTGCAGTTTTTACATTATTTTAATAATGTTTTATTATATTTTATAATAGTCACGTAGCAGGATTTTATGTTTTTCAATATTCACATTTTGCATGTTTGATTTATTTAGCAACATTTGTGAGTTTATAGTGTTATGTTTGCATTTTTTTTGTTTTAAGGACTGTAGATGTGTACGGGTAACGCATGTCAGGGCAAAGACAACTTTTGCTGAGAGGTGAAGGACTGAAGAGGCCCCAGCAGTGATATTAACATACTGTAAGTACAGAGCAGTGATGGGGAGGGGGGGGGGGGGGGGGGGGGGTAGGGGAGGGGTTAGTTAGTGTAGGTGGGATTGTTACAAACGGGGCCTGGGAAAAAGGATATTGTGTGTAAAATTTATGTTTGTAACTAGCCTTAACACAAAAAAACAAAATCTGCACTATTGGGCAACGCCGTGCACTCCCAACGTATTCATATATTTGTGCTAAAGGGATCTCTGCCTTTGTTTATACTAGTTGTAGGCAACTCCAGAGGTGAAGATCAACTGTAACCGCTTCCGTCCACCCTATAGCAGAAATACTGCTACAGGGCGGCACGGGTGTGCAAAATCACGTATACATACGTGATTTTGCAGTTCCGGGTAGGGGGGCGCTTGCTGCCATTTGTGGCCTCGGCTGTTAATCACTGGGACAGTGATTACACGCCGGCACCTGGTGATCGCTGAGTATTACCGATGGAGGAGAGAACTGTATGTAAACAATACAGTTCTCTCCCCTATCAGCTCCTGCACACTGCTTTGTATGGCTCTGCAAAGCAGAGCCTTACAAAGCAGTGTGCTGTTTCACAGTTAACCCTTTGATTGCCCCAGATGTTAACCCCTTCCTGCCAAGTGCCATTAGCACAGTGTCAGTGCTTTTTATTAGTATTGGTGTCACTGGGGATATCAGTGACACCAGTTAATTTCCTCCCAGTGTCAGAATGCCCGCTGCAGTCCTGCTATAAGTCGCTGATTGCCGCCATTACTAGTAAAAAAATTAAAAAATCCCAGTATATATACACACACCACCATTTCTAAATGCTATAGCTTTCACATAAACCAATTAATTTTACACGTATTGGGATTTTATTTTTCATGAGACACAGAAATATGTGCTAGGAGCACGCACTCTCAGCACGTGTGTGTTTTCAAATGGTACGCAAATATACAGCCGCTTGGTGTCAAGGCCCAGCCGCCATATATTTTACATAAAGGAAAAAAAAAATTTGCCTTTCATTCATTTTCCCTTTATTTTTCCTTTTTTATTTTCCCTTTTTATTTTCCCTTTTTATTTTCCCTTTCCTTTATTTTTCCTTTTTTTTTCACTTTCCTTTATTTTCACTTTCCTTTATTTTTCCTTTTTTTTTTTTCCACTTTTCTTTATTTTTCCTTTCCCCTTTCCTTTATTTATTTTTCCTTTTTATATTTTTTCCTTTATTTTTCATTCTTCCTTTTTTTTTTTTTTTTTTTTACGTTTAGATAAAGGTGGCAAGGGAGTTAGAACCCTCTTTTGGTGTTTTTTTACTGCTGTCTGTGTCCCCATTAAGCACACTATATTTCCTGATCATCAATGCCCCTGTGAATGAAAGTGAAGTTAATCCAACATTTTGAGGTGCAACCAGAACAGGAAAAGATGATAAATCCTCTGTTCCAACAACCCATGTCTAAGGAAATTTCTCTCCCATATTAATGATCCTCTCATTTCATGTTGAGTCTAAAGGACAGGAAGTGAAGGGAAATCTCTGTAATGAGATACAAATGATAAAAACCTGACATCGAAAATGAGGAGTTTGTGCTCAATTCTGTGGCACAAAAAAAAAAAAAGCACAAGGTGACAAGGAAATATCTTGTAAGAAATTATATTTATGTCTCAGGAATAAATGCACGCATAGTCCCTCTAATAACCCCAATATGAGTTACAGGCCCCTTCTAGCAGCGAAGAGGTTAAATACACAGCTCAACGGACTGAATAAACGTCTTCATAAAGAAACAAGCAGCACATACAATATGGCAACCTCAGCGTGGAAGGGACCGAACAAGGCAAAAAAGACAGGAGATGTCAGACTTTGGGAGTGTAGGGAAGGCACTCGCTTTAAAGTGAGCCGCATCCCGGCTGGCACAGGTCATGGAGCGAGGTCGGTCATCCCAGCGGTACGGCCCAACTCCTCTGCGCCAAACGTTGGCACCGCCTTCCTCTTTGCGACGTGGACCCTCAGAGAAATGTCCACGATGCTGGTATGTTTATAACCTATCCACGTCTGTCCAGCTGCTAGTCAGACCTGTCCCCCTTTACTGGTACATGGAGATCATAACAACACAGGGGTAGAAGGTGCAACTCAATCTTAGAGCCGGACGGGCCCCGTGGCTGTAATGCATGCTTCTCTGCAACAACGTGGCTCCTGTCACACATCTGTCTCTGTCCGCTTGATGCCATCTTGCCTCTTAGATCTCTTCAGGGCGGCTGGTCTGCAGATCTACAGCCGCTCAGCTACCCAGCAGGCTTGGAGAGGAACGGCTCTCGTGTGCTCTGGGTGGACAATTGCACCGGGTGCTCTGTGGTCTTCAGTGCGGCATGTGGACACATTTCCATACAAATAAGCTGCAGCAAAGAAAAGGAGACTTCTGTTAGGGAAAAATATTGTGCGTTCGAACTCGAAAATCTTACTCTGGTGCAAGGAGAGCAAATTCCTCTTATGACTTTAATCACCTGGATTTTGATACCCACCTGCACAGCAGATCCAGAATTGTCCTCCTATGATCCCCTAAGAAGGTCCAGATCCTGCACTGCTATCGGCTTACCTGCACAGCAGATCCAGAATTGTCCTCCTATGATCCCCTAAGAAGGTCCAGATCCTGCACTGCTATTGGCTTACCTGCACAGCAGATCCAGAATTGTCCTCCTATGATCCCCTAAGAAGGTCCAGATCCTGCACTGCTATCGGCTTACCTGCACAACAGATCCAGAATTGTCCTCCTATGATCCCCTAAGAAGGTCCAGATCCTGCACTGCTATCGGCTTACCTGCACAGTAGATCCAGAATTGTCCTATGATCCCCTAAGAAGGTCCAGATCCTGCACTGCTATCGGCTTACCTGCACAGCAGATCCAGAATTGTCCTCCTATGATCCCTAAGAAGGTCCAGATCCTGCACTGCTATCGGCTTACCTGCACAACAGATCCAGAATTGTCCTCCTATGATCCCCTAAGAAGGTCCAGATCCTGCACTGCTATCGGCTTACCTGCACAGTAGATCCAGAATTGTCCTATGATCCCCTAAGAAGGTCCAGATCCTGCACTGCTATCGGCTTACCTGCACAGCAGATCCAGAATTGTCCTCCTATGATCCCTTAAGAAGGTCCAGATCCTGCACTGCTATCGGCTTCAGAAGCCAGTAGCCTCTTCCGGATCCAGATATCTACTGGCCTCCAATCAAGGTTGCTGTCAGGGCCCCCAAATAAACACCGTTTACTATGCTTCAGTTATGACTGAACACAGTGAGTGAACGGTACCAGTCACTCATTGTGTTTATTCAGGAAAGGAAGGGGCTGGTAAATGTGACATATTTACAGACCTTTTCCCCACTCTCCATCCTGAAGGATCCTATTGTGTGTTTGCAGTTGGGAAGGAAAGGTGTGAAGCTGGCAGCATTGAGGGGGCACACAAGAAGGGGGCTTGGGCAGCATGGGGAAATGTACTGGGACTTCCGGTTACAGTTCCAGTAATTTTCCCCCTCCCCCCCTGCTACACTGGTCACCCTCCCTGCCCACATCTGATTCACCCAGCTACGTGGGCCCCCCTGCTGGTCTGGGCCCTGTACAGGAGGACCAGAGGTACCCCCTTATCCATGGCCCTGCCTAAGATGATGATTGGTGCTCTGACCACCAACTGCTGTAAGTCTCTACTCAAGCAGCCTCCTGGGATATGTAACGTAGAATCTCAGTAGGCTGAGGCAGCAGGGACATGTCGTTCTCACCAAGGATTGGCTGCTAGGGGTGGGGCCCATGATGCTACTAAGATGGCACAGTAATGCGTTAGGGCCCCTATCAGGAAGATGGTGACCTACAGTGGGCGTAGTGTGCCACAGCAAAGAAATGGGTATGGCTAAATGATGCTACATCTCAAATTACTTTTTAGAAACAACAAATAGACACAAACAGGGAATTATCCCAAATTAAATGCACCCCCTGTACACACCGCTGCGCTTTTCCCCTGTATTCATTTTTTTTTTTACTTTTATGTTTACATTCATTTTTTTTACACAAAGAAGCATCATAAAAAAGGGGAAGACAGAATTCAATATATACTCACTGGCCACTTTTTTAGGTCCACCTGTTCAATTGTTTGGTATCCCAAATTGCTAATCAGCCAATCACATGGCAGCAACTCAATGCATTTAGGCATCTAGACCTGGTGCAGACGACTTGCTGAAGTTCAAGCAGCATCATAATGGGGAAGAAAGGGGATTTACGTGAATTTGAATGTGGCATGGTTGTTGGTGCCAAACGAGCTGGTCTGAGTATTTAAAAAACTGATCTACTGGGATTTTCACAACCATCTCTAGGGTTTACAGAGAATGGTCTGAAAAAGGGAAAATAGTTTTCCAAAGTAGTGAAGGGATTTCTTTCCCTGCTTGTCATGGGCACGGGAGTCCATTCAAATGAATAGGCTCTCGTGCCCTATGAACCATATGTATATATGGTTCAGTATGGGTGAGCGGCAGCTGTGTGGAGGAAAATGCCTTGTTGATGTCAAAAGAGAATGGGCAGACTGCGACATTCAGATGGTAGGGTCAGAATTTGGCATAAACAACATGAAAGCATGGATCCATCCTGCCTTGTATCAATGGTTCAGGCAGGTAGTGTGATGGTGTGGGGGGGTATTTCCTTGGCACCAGCAAGGTGTACCTAATAAAGAGTGCACACCTCACCATCACGTATGATCTTGTTCAACATCCTTCTAAAACCATGACCATTAATGTAAACCCTAGGTTCACACCTATGCGGCCGTGCGGGCCACGGTTTGCTTATTCAGCTTATTCATTTGAATGGACTCCCGTGCCCGTGACACGCAGGGAAAGAAGTCCCTGCACTACTTTGGAAAACGCAGCCCGCACGGGAACCTTGGTTCCCAGTATGGTTGCGTTTCCCAGTGCGGGCGGCGTCCCATTAGAACTAATGGCACCCACCCGCGGGGTGCCATTAGTTCTTTGTAGCTATAAGAGACTTCACTCTTTTGGGAAGGTGCTCCACAAAATTTTGGAACGTCTGTGGGAACTTGTACCCATTTGTGAGGTCATGCACAAATGTTGGATGAGAAGACCTGACTCACAATAGGTGTTCAGTAGGGTTGAGGTCAGGGCTCTGTACAGGACACTCGCGTTCCTCCACTCCAAACTGGTCAAACCATGTCTGGATGGAGCTGGCTTTGTACAAAGTTGTACAGTCATGCCAGAACAGAAAAGGGTCTTCACAAAACTGTTATCACAAGGTTGGATTTGGGCTTTGTATGATGTATGAGTATCCTTCACTGGAAACACCCAACTCATCTGGAGGGGATCCTCATACTTCCTGGCCATAAAGTGTACCTATGATTCTATTGGGCTTGGTATTTGTAGGTATCAGTAGGGGCCAAACCTTTCTACCACCTTCAAGACTGAAAAAGATGAATGGCTGAAAATACACAAAGGTCTAGCAACCTCAAAAGGAACCCTTTCTGTTGGCTTTTGATAGCTCCTTCCCAATGGATGGCTCACTAAGGAGAGCACGGAGCACAGTCATGCTGGAGCAGGAAAGGATCTTCCCAAAACGCTTAACAGAAGGTTTGGCAGAATAGAATAGTCCAAAAAGTCTTTGCTGTAGTGTTAACAGTACTCTTCACTGGAGTCACCCAAACTCAGTCATTTGGAGGAGGGTCCATGTCATTTTGGTCATATAGTGTAGATTTGATGGTCTGGTGTCCTCAGACTTTTAACAGTAAAGTAAAACTGTTCATGAAGAATGAGCTATATCACAGAGCCATATACAAGTCAATCTCTGAGCTTTCCATGTTTAACAACAATGACACGTTACCATATGGTGGTATTTCTGTCAGTATATCAATCTTACCTGCAGTCATCTCCTCCTGCACTAACCACATAGCGGTCACCGCTGGTGAATCGAATGTTGGTCACATGGGCAGAGTGCCCCAGGAAACGCTTATGTTTTGCCTGTGAAAAAAAAGTGATGGCATGAATTCCCTCACTTGACAGGTTGTTTGGATGTTCTTTAATTGCAAGGAATTAGATTGGCCACCGATGGACAGATACATCTGCCCATGTTCGGAGGAGATCCAGAAGACATAGTAAGCTTTTCCACAACTTGCCCAGCGGCAGCACCAGCTAGTGAGTCATTTTTTCCCTCGTCCCAATAGAAAGGAAAATGCCAGTGCTCAGTCACACAGATTTTCAGTTTTATAACACACATTAACCACAAAAGCCATACTTACAAACTTTTCTGGACAGGGGAAGTCAAATAACTTGACCATTCCAAAGTCATCGCCCGTAACCAGGCTGATCCCTGAGTGAGAGACGCATGCACACGTCACGTCCGACTTGTCGTTGTGTCTGGACCAGATTCCCAGCACCTCATCACCCAGGACGCTGCAAGATACGGATAGTTCTTCCTAGTGATGAGAACATTTTATACAAAGCAGACCTACTGAACAATTGCTAGTTATCTTTCTAGTCTATGGAAAGAAACAGGAATTCAGAAACAGTCAGGGTAAGACATCTAGATAGTCTCTATGGACCAAGAGGCCCTGGCACAACCCATCAGTCTCTTAAGGTGAATGGGATGCTGTTTGTCCCCCCACCTCGGGAGGGTCCACTCACAGGGGTGTCCCCATACTTATGGGGGTCAAGACTAGTTTCCCAGAACAGAGGGTCCTTACTTCATCGGGGAGCCCACTGAGTTAGCTTCGTGACCTGGACTGTAATTGGACATCAACGGTGTAGGGCCTTCACCTTTGGAAAAGTTTGGAACAGGACAAGTGGCCTTATTTCTTAGCTGGATGATACTGAGAGTGCTGTTATCCAATCCATTTTCTTTCTTAGAGACAAAACCTCTTCTCAACAGCGGTCTCCACTCCAAAGGGTGAGGTTTGTTCACCTGGTTGCTTCTTGATTCTTGCATAGCTGGAAGAAACCTTCGCTAGATGGCTCAGTGCTGCTCTGTTTGTTAGCAGGCTATACACCCTGGGAACCTGCTGCAGGTATCCCCTGTTGGGAACAGAATACATCCAGAGGCCATTATGGAATATACAAAATAAAATATTAAATGTGTCGCGCTCCTCAAAAGTATTTAGTAATATATAATATATATAAACAAAATAAATAAATCTAAATAAATATTAATTCATGGTGATGTAATTTAAATTTAAAACACTCCTTGTGCTATAATTAATTATAATGCAATTGACTAAATTAAATAAAATTGATGATGTGAAATAAATAAATTCAAATTATATAGACATAATATTGGAATTAATCAAATCAGGTAAACAAAAAAAAACCTCCATGCATAGTGGTATTTATGTGCAAAACATGTGTGTGCAAAAATGCAAAAATTGCACAGAACAGTTGTATGAAAAATTAAAAAATATATAATAAAAAACAATGAACAAATTAATATAAAGAAATAATAAATGATAATAGAACTGTGCAAATAATATGGTGTGCTCACCTCACTTATACAGCCTAAAATAGTGATTAGAGTTATATACTAATTGTCCTTAGCTTAGATGACATATAATCGTCCCGATCTGTATATACAAATGTATGGAAAATATATTGCTGTTGAGGTAGACTGTAATGTTACTTTCCTTCCACTAGATGGCCTCCCAATTTCTTCTGGGTTATGAGGGCTGGATAGATAGATATAGATATCTCCCCTCGTCCTGTTAGGGTCTATCTCCTATCTCCTCTTCTTCCCTTTTGCTCCTCCAATTTAGGCCATGAAAAGAAAGATTCCCACATAGTGCTTTATCCTTTATAAAAGGTTTTCATATGTCTCCAGAAAAATGCAAACTCACATTCCACAGAGCAATACAGAGCGTTTTTTCAATGTGTGCCCTCGCACAATGACAGTACTCGCCGTTCCGCTGAAATTGGGGTCGTGACGTCAGAGCCCCTCCCCTACGCGTTACGCCACAGGGTCACGTGGCTTCCTCAGGGGGAACGCGTAGGGGAGGGGCTCTGAAGTCACGACGCCACTTTCAGCGAAACGGCGAGTACTGTCATTGTGCGAGGGCACACATTGAAAAAAACGCTCTGTATTGCTCTGTGGAATGTGAGTTTGCATTTTTCTGGAGACATATGAAAACCTTTTATAAAGGATAAAGCACTATGTGGGAATCTTTCTTTTTCATGGCCTAAATTGGAGGAGCAAAAGGGAAGAAGAGGAGATAGGAGATAGACCCTAACAGGACGAGGGGAGATATCTATATCTATCCAGCCCTCATAACCCAGAAGAAAGGAAAGTAACATTACAGTCTACCTCAACAGCAATATATTTTCCCTACATATGTATATACAGATCGGGACGATTATATGTCATCTAAGCTAAGGACAATTAGTATATAACTCTAATCACTATTTTAGGCTGTATAAGTGAGGTGAGCACACCATATTATTTGCACAGTTCTATTATCATTTATTATTTCTTTATATTAATTCGTTCATTGTTTTTTATTATATATTTTTTCATTTTTCATACAACTGTTCTGTGCAATTTTTGCATTTTTGCACACACATGTTTTGCACATAAATACCACTATGCATGGAGGTTTTTTGTTTACCTGATTTGATTAATTCCAATATTATGTCTATATAATTTGAATTTATTTGTTTTTTCACATCATCAATTTTATTAATTTAGTCAATTGCATTATAATTAATTATAGCACAAGGAGTGTTTTAAATTTAAATTACATCACCATGAATTAATATTTATTTAGATTTATTTATTTTATTTATATATATTATATATTACTAAATACTTTTGAGGAGCGCGACACATTTAATATTTTATTTTGCCTATTCTTACACAGCATTATGAGTATGTGTTTTTGTGTTGATGCACCATCACATTTGTAGGAGTTAATTATTTATAAGTATCTTTATATCACCATAGTAGCTCACAAGTACACATTATTATAAAATTTCCATTATGGAATATAGATCCTCCAGTGGAGTTCCCCCCAAGGCAGGGGAAAGAAGCCACCCCCATTTATCCTAATAGACTGATTCTTAGTCCATAGCGACCATCTGGATATCTCACACCAACTGTATCTGAATTCCTGTGTTCTTCCATGGCCTAAAGACAAAGGTTTTATGGGAAGTACAAAAATAGTATATTTTTATATTCCAGGAAACCCATCCTGAGAAATTCCATGCAGTCATCGCTGGAGAACATGTAGAGGAGATTGCTGCAGAAGATCAACAAAGGATGACCAGGATCTTTCTGAAAACAAATGCCAGTTGTTTATGATACACAGTGCACAGAGTCAACTACATTTCACCCAGGTGGGGTTTACATTTACTATAATGGAACACAGTTCATCTTCTCTCTTATTACTCACCTGGTCCAGGTAGCCCAGGTGATGCGGTCAATCACAGCTTGTTCCGTGAGGAGTTTTCCTGAAGGCACTTCATAGACCAGCCTCTTGTAACACCCGGTGGAGACCTGCACAGGATGCAGCATTACACAGTATTCCACACACTCCTAATATTTTGTGGAAAGCCTTCCCAGAGGAATGGAGGCTGTTATAGCCACAAAGGGGCAACTCCATATTAGATGCCATGGTTTTGGAATGGGATGTTCTACAAGCTCGTAAAAGGTGCAATGCTTGGGAGTGCACTAAGTTTAGGCCATATGGTGCACATACTCACTAAATATTCACCCCCAGCCCGTGCGCCCCCCCCCCCCCCGACTTCTTCATCACGACCAACAACGCCACCATGAGTCCCACCCCACAAGCCAGAGTACTAGGTGTCATTCTAGACTCCAATCTGTCCTTCCAGCCCCAGGTCCAATCGCTGACAGACTCATGTAGACTTCACCTCCGCAACATCTCCAAAATAGGTCCGTTCCTAACCCCGGAAACCACTAAGCAACTTATTCACTCCCTTAGCATACCACGACTTGACTACTGCAACTCCCTCCTCACTGGCCTACCTCACCACAGGCTATCCCCGCTTCAGTCTATCCTGAATACTGCGGCCAGACTCATCCACCTTACTAACCGCTCCGTATCCGCCACCCCCCCTCTGCCAATCCCTCCACTGGCTTCCGATTGCCCAACAGATACAATTCAAAATGCTAACACTGACGTATAAAGCTGTTCATAACACTGCCCCAAACTACATCACCGATCTGGTATCCAAATACCACCAAAAACGTACTCTCTGCTCCTCACAAGACCTCCTACTCTCTAGTTCCCTGGTCTCCTCCTCCCATGCCCATCTCCAGGACTTCTCCAGGGCTTCCCCCATCCTTTGGAACTCCCTACCCCTATCACCTACTCTCACCTTTTAGGCACACCCTGAAAACCCATCTCTTCAGGGAAGCCTACCCCGCCCTCAGCTAACTGCCGATCTCCTCCACTCTTCCTACCACTGAATCCCCCACAGCTATTTCCTCCTGTACCACTATCCCCTCCCTCCTAGATTGTAAACTCCAAGGAGCAGGGCCCTCAAACCCCTCGTGTATTGAATTGTATTGTTACTGTACTGTCTCGTGTATTGTCTCCCATTATAATGTACAGCGCTGAGCAAACTGTTGGCACTATATAAATCCTGCATAATAGTAATAATTCACTATTTTTCTCTTTAAAGTCTAATAATCAGTAGAAAGCAATGTTTTGGCCATGCTTATGAAACTGGTCACATGATCTAACAGTGATGATAAAGTGGCAGTTCACATGGGAGAGGCCCGCAGATGACTTCTCATACCTGAACATAGCGGCTGTCTGCGGAGAAGTCGATCTGCAGCACGAAGCTGGGAATGTCTTTGCAGTAGCTGATTCGGTTCAGCGAGGGTCCGATGGTGAGGTCATAAAAATCAACCGCGTTCTCACTGGAACCCACCGCCAAGTAGTGTGAGTCTGGGCTAAATCTGTACAGAACGCATGCAATGGTCAGCACACGGGATTATCGTAACAACCCAATCGTTCACAAATACAATCTTTTAACTTTAGCTTGAAGAGCTGTCATGGCCAATGTTTTATTTACATTCAGGCTGTCTGCAGTCTGCACTGATCAACAGTTCATTGTAGTGGTCAGCTACCTTTTTGCTTCTATGTGTTCAGTGCCAGAAGCCATCAATGATTTTTATTCTGCTCTGTACTCATGTAATCACTGAAAAAAACGGATCGTAAACTGCTGAAAGAAGCTTGTCCCTGCATTCGTTCTGCCTTGAGTTTCACATTAACACCAAATAAAACAAAAGTCAGTGACTCAGAGAAGGGGAGACCAACAGGCTAAGATTGTCAACCAAAGGAAAAAAAATCCATAAGTGACCAGAATTCAAAAGTCCACTTTACAATGGCTGCAGCTCCTCTGGCAGTAATGGGTAACCTCTGTACATTGTAAAACAATAAAAAAAAAGAAAAGGGCACCACCTTCTAAGTGTAGATTTTTACGAAACATGTAAGGAAAGGATTAAAATGCACTCACATATATAGGAGGATAAAGGCACATCAAAACATCCTCAAAGCAACACCCGGCCACTTTCCTGCCGAACTCTGCAGTTGCTTGATGTTCCTATATCTTCCTATATGTGGGAGTTCATTTGAACCCTTTACACGGTTATTGATTTAAATGATGAAAAATTAGAACTGTTTATTTTTTTCTATCTAGGCTTCTGTGTGCTGCATTGTTCATGGCCAGCAGCCTCCATCAGGTCAGTTTGGTTCTGTACAGCTACGGGCTCTTTGCCTGTGCAGACCCTTAACGGTAGCCCTTAGCAGTCAATGTTCCTCACCTGATGTCCTGAATGGCAGACCTCCGATCTCTCTTCTTGCCCCAGATCTTTAGGGAGGCCACAACTAAAATTATAAACTCTCCGTTCTTCATGCCAATGGCCACCATGTCACCCTCAGGGCTGTAGCACACGGAACGTGCAGAGTGACCCAGGTTCACCTTGTTTAGCATCTTCTGTGGGGAACACAAAACACAAATCAAATTACCAAATCTTTACCAACACAAAACCAGCACGCAACATGTATTCCTGGCCAATGCGCCTATCCTAAACTCAACCAAAAACATACCCTCTGCACTCCTTTCCTTCACATATTGCCTGCTCTAAAACCATAGTCACTTTTGTGGAATCGGCCTCCCTTTAAGAAGGAAGGGTGTAGACCGTTACAGCCTCAAAAGTCAGGGCTCTCTGCAGGCCACTTGGCTTCTTCCACACCAAACTGGTCATACCATGTCTTTATGGAGCTGGCTTTGTACAAAGGGGTACAATAATGCCAGAACAGAAAAGGGTCTTCACAAAACTCTTATCACAAGGTTGGATTTGGGCTTTGTGTGATGTAAGAGTATTTTTCACTGGAAACACCCAACTCATCTGGAGGGGATCCACATACTTCTTGGCCATAAAGTGTACCTATGATTCTATTGGGCTTGGTATTCGTAGGTATCAGTAGGAGCCAAACCTTTCTACCACCTTCAAGACTGAAAAAGGTGAATGGCTGAAAACACACAAAGGTCTAGCAACCTCAAAATTAACCCTTTCTGTTGGCTTTGATGCTTCATCACTAGCTCCTTCCCAATGGATGGCTCACTAAGGAGAGCACTGACAGTACAGCTAGCATAGGAAATATAAAAAAAAGAGGAGTACTGGGTGCGCTGTTCTCCCAATGATCATTGTGTGCTCTCATTTCCAACATTTGAAGTTTTAGGCAAATACCAACACAGACCAACCTATGCGAGTTACATGAAAGTTGTGTCATCTCTACCTTATCCACTATGTCCCACAGCCGTACAGTGCCATCCTCCGCAGCAGACAGGAAGAAGTCCCGGGTTGGATGGGTGGCTAGTCCCCAGATGGGCCCTTCCATGTGACCATTGATGAGAATGTTACAAGCTGCGTTCTTCTCCCCCACCTCGATAATTTCTGCATTACGTGTACCAACCAGGATCTTCCCCTGTGTACAGGAAGCAAAGATGCAGACTTTTTATGCCATAATATAATCTATTTCAGTTGTACAATATAGATAATATATCAGTGATGGAATAATCCTCTATAAAGTCCAGCTCTGTTCACACCTGGAAATGGGGTTGCCAGGATAAGTCACCAATAAGTCCTTACATTGTAGAGATCTGATGTCGCCAAGATGAAAGGACAAAATATTCTGCAGTTATATAGAACTATGTTATTAAAGCTTCATCAATACCAGATAGGTCTAACAGGTGACACTGGTGATGACATCTGTACAAACAGGGCCTTAGGAATGAGAATTCCTTCTTCACCAGAGATCCCCCTTTTAGTGGCTTAGACCACTGGTTCTCAACCTTCTGGGGACTAGAAACCAGTAAATTCTTTCAAAACAATACATGCCCCAACAGTAAAAATACATTTTACACTCACACAATAAAAGTATGGGAATGCCAAGAATCTATTAAAATGTGGGAAAGTTCTGGATGGGACTGGGTACCACTATGGAGGCAAGGAGGGGGTTGTGAATCAGGCTGGGGGGGGGGGGCAATGTGGGAGGCTGGGCAGCACTGTGGGAGGCGGAGGGTCACTGTGGAGGCTGAGGGCTCTCAGGGGACCAGGAAGCAGCATGGGCCACTATGGGAGTTTGGAGGCACTATGGGAGGTTAAGGGATCTGCAGCTGGATAAAGGCCTAGGAGAAGGGAGGCTGCAGCATGGCAGTGGGCCACGGCCCAATGGTTGAGAACCACTGACACAGACATATTTTTTTTACAATCTCTGTGTAAATTTGGTGTAATACTTTGCACAAAATAGTATATTTTATTTTACCAAGCATTTACCTTGCCTCTGCACACTGATCTAACACAGTCGGTCGTTTTGGCCAGTCTCCAGTCTGAAAGCACGACACCTCTTGAGCTCCTGATCCCACAACTTCACTGCCCCACCTTCCTTGGACCTTGGAAAATGATGTTAGACTTGGAAATGGTAATGTGTAACATCCCATAGCAACCAACTACCCATTAGCTTCATTATACTAACTGTTCCAAGCTGGTAAAAACAAACACGTTATTGGTTATTGAAGGGGAACTTTACTCTGGTGCGCTCTGAATCCTGCTTTCAGATAAGCCTACTTAGCTCCACATGAATAGGCCTCGAGGGCCACTTTATTAGGTATGCCTAACCATGTTGCTGCAACTTGATACCTAATGCAAGAAGACATGCAAAAAGCTTTATTGTTCAAAAAGATGCATGGTCCAAAGAGAATTTGACTGTGCATTGATTGTTGGTGGATGTAACAACTGAGATCTACACACTACTATCTATGGAGTTTACAGAGTATGGTACAAAAACAAAACATCCACGGAAGATGAAAACACTTTGTAACTGGTCAGAGGAGAAGGGTTGGACTGGTTCAGGCTTAGAGGAGTCCATTGGTACTCCATTACCTCTCAGAAAAACACACAGAAGACCATCTCTGAACACCCAACCTTAAACAGGATGGACCACAGCAGAAGACAACCACCTTGGGCTCCTCTCCTGGCAACTACCAGCAGGAAATAAAGTTATGGTGGGCAACGGATCACCAAAACTTGATGATCTGGTAGCTGTGTGATAGCGAAGGACCAATGAAAGTGGAAGTTGGTTCTCCTCATGGGAGGCGAGATGATGATACAAGTGTGTATGGACTCGGTTCTAGTCCTAGGCTGCTAAACCTTTGATCACTATACTCAAATCACTCAACAGGCAATCACCTCCCGCTTGTGTGGTTAGGAGCCCCTAATACAAATGTTCATGTCTTCTCCTTTTTTGGTTACAAGCATCATATATAGCCAGTACATTTTGGGGGAAAGCACTCCCCCTTTCTTAAGGGCTTGAACAATGAATGGTTTGCATAAGGAACCAAACTGAGTACTCTAGAACAGTCTTCCCCAACCTTTTTTCATTTACTGCACCCTTTAAATGTATGCAAAATCTCAAAGTACCCCTGACGTAAATGTTACTTACCATCAATGGGAAATCACATCAGAAGCCTGCTTTCCATCAGAAGTCCTCCCATCACATCAGAGTCCTCCCCCAGTCACATCAGAGCCCCCATCATGTCAGCAGTATCACCCCCATCATGGAATTCTCTCATCACATAAGAAGCCTCACCCTTCCAATCAGAGGCCCCCCATACATCAGAGTCACCCCTATCCATGCCCCTCATCACAGAGTGTCCTCTTCCCTTCAGAACCCTACCTTACTCCAGCAAAAGGCGGAAGGCAGATCAGGGCTCCAGAGTATTCGGGGCTGAATGCCCTGAATCAGCATCATGCGTTGCCATGGTGCAGACAAGACACTGTACAGGATGTACGCATGGTCCAGGTCCTAGAGCTTCATTGGTTGTTATGGTGCTGGTGGCTGGTCGCACCATGGCAGCACATGTTGCTGATCCAGGGCAAACTGCATCCCATATTCACAGCACCCAAGGGCAACCCAAGTGGAACCTTGGTTGAGGAATGCTGCTCCAGCAAGTCTGCGCTAGGGCTGGATTAGTGCTAGTGGGTCCTGATAGCTTTTGCCAGTTAACATTGACATCTGCCCAGGCTTTCTACTAAACCATTCCAAACCATTGTTCAAGCCTTGAAGTAGGGTAAGCCCTTTCCACCCTGAAATATATTGGCTGTATCTATTGTGCTTAATCAATAAATGCTTTAAAAGAATTTCAAGTGAATGTTTGTACTAGAAGCTCCCAACCAGACACCTAAAACTTGATGACTGGAGGAACTCTGTTCGGTCTAAAAGAAATCTCAGTTCCTTGAAGAGACCTGCAGATGGTTGTCCAGAATTCAGCGTTCAAACACATGGGATGAGGTGGACCCTCGATGTGTGGCCGGCAGGAACTCTCTGAGGTTATCAAATCAGAAGACTTTAGAAGGAACATTTCCTGCACCTAGTTAGATTCATACATCAGGAATTCAACTTGTTGTAAAAGCAAAAGCAGATCAAACCAGCTACTAGGTGAACCCAATAAGGCGGCCACCAAGTGCAGCTCCCCAGAGCTGCTAGTATCATTTAAGCCAAGGAACTTACGGTCTCTCCTTCCCACCAGTGACAATGAGGCCGTCCCTCAGCGTGGTGTACATGGTAAACACGGGACCGTTATGAGCTTTGGCCACAATGCGGGACAGAATGTGGTCCTTCCAAACACAGACGTCCCCGCTAATCGTTCCCGTAAATGTCAAATTCCCCTGTAAGAGAAAGGAAGAGATTCCAGACTGTGCCTCCCCGATAGAACCATCTGTGCATGGCACCGACGGAAACCTTGCTGTGTCATTGTAAACCTGAATCTGGCCAATTTTTAAAAAATGACCATGTGCTTATAATTGAGATTCTTAAACCAAACTCTGGGAAATGTAAAAAATGAAATGTAAAAATTGCACCTGTACTGCATTACTTGTTTAGGTCTAGGGTACATAGAAAAGAAGAACTACTTACCTAATCCTCCCCGCTGCTAGACCGGTCCCGCAACGTCTTCTCCCCTAACGCTCCAGCGGTCTAAGGTCCTGACGTCATCAAGACCAATGTAGGGTCCATAGTCCTGCAATGGATGTGATGACGTCGAGGCACAACCCAGTGCTGGAGGATGGGGGAGCGCCATCAACTGGGGGAGCACATGATCACAGTTACATAGGATCAAGTAAGTTACAGTGCATAAACTTCCTCAAAAACACACACTCACCTGTTCCAGGATCCAGCAATGTCCTCACCTGGACCTGGCTCTTTGTCCTGCGTTCGGATCCAGGATCCGGCACCTTAACTGTGGGCAGCCAACTGTGACTCCTTGCGTCTTCATAGCCAGCTGCCCACTGCACATGTGCGAGACACGCTGAGCCCCGTGACTGGTCCCACAATCTCCTCGGATCTCCCATATGAGACAAGAAGTTTAGGGGGAAGGGCACTTCCGCGTCATTCACCTAGATGACCGAAGCGGAAGTGGGTATCTTATTTTGACAAATACCTGCCCCCCTCCAAAAAAACGCTCCATATGGGAGATAGAGAAATAGCAGAACTTCTCATTTTGGGTGAAGTTCAGCTTTCAAGTGATTCTAAAGGTTGTAATTATACAAAAAAAAATTAAAAAGTCATGCAGGCCATACATGGGTCAAATTCTGAACAAATTTTCTTTCAAAAATTGTAACTAAGAATTTTTGTTTGAATTCCGTGCCATTAGTAGTCCGCAGAGTCTTCCAATTTCTGTGCTGCCGTCGAATTTGTGTAATTGGGCATGTTGGAAATTTTTTCAAAAAATGAATGAATTTCTAATCAATGATGGGAGAATCGTGGCAGAAAAATAATCGAAAAAGAAATGAGCGTGAGCTGTGACCTTGAAAGAAAAGATTGCCGGCCACTAAAATTCTTTTCTTTAGTAACATGAGGGCTTGGTTGGTTGAATTTCGGAATCAATGGCACCACCATTACAAAATGCACAAAATTTCCTAAGGAAAATTAATTCAGGAATCGACTCGTGTATGGCCTGCATTACCTGCTCTGCGCAATGATTTTGCACACAGCAGCCCTGATCCTCCTCTTTTAGGGTTCCACACCAGCAGTCCTGGCTTCTTTCCCCAGCCAAGTGCCCCCAATATTAAACCTCTTGCTATGGGGGCACTCGAGCAGGCTCACTCCCGAGCCGCGCTCCTGTAAAAGGTTTATTCAAACACAGAGCGAGGCGAGGCTCCACCCCTGCTCTCTCTCCCATTGGCTCACTGGCTGTACTTGACAGCTTCTGGAGTCAATGGATCGCACTGCTGTGAGAGCCAATAAGGAGAGAGAGACCTGGGAGAGCCTCAGCTCTCATGCACATCGCTGGATCGAGATGGGGCTCAGGAGGTAAGTATAAGGGGGGCTGAGAGGGGAGC